AGTAGCATTAAAGATTTTCCTCCCGCGTCATTTTTCTGTCAAAGATTTCACGATAACACGCAAACCTTAAAGAACTCCCAACACAAACAGTTTTTTATTTATTTATTTTTATTGCTTAGATGAATGGACGAGCTCACAGCCCACCTGGTGTTAAGTGGTTACTGGAGCCCATAGACATCTACAACGTAGAAGCGCCACTCACCTTGAGATACAAGCTCTAAAGTCTCAGTATAGTTACAACGGCTGCCCCACCCTTCAAACCGAAACGCATTACTGCTTCACGGCAGAAATAGGCGGGGCGGTGGTACCTAACCGCGCAGACTCACAAGTGGTCCACCAGTAATTACGCAAATTATAATTTTGCGGGTTTGATTTTTATTACACGATATTATTCCTTCACCGTGGAAGTCAATCTTGAACATTTGTTGAGTACGTATTTCATTAGAAAAATTGGTACCCGCCTGCGGGATCTAAACATAGTTGCATCGCGATATACGAATGCACCGGGCCTCTTATCCTTTAGGCCACGACGACTTCTAGTTCTAGACTCTAAGTTTTCTTATTTGACTCTAGAAACCTAAGGCCTGGTTGCTCTGAGATTTACCATCTGGCTATGGAATAAACTCCCCTCTACGGTTTTTCCCGAGCGTTATGACATGCCCTTCTTTAAACGAGGCTTGAGGAGAGTACTTAACGGTATACAGCGACTTAGTTCTGCCCCTGGCGACGGTAACCATTCGCCATCAGGCAGGTCGTATGCTCGTCTACCTACAAGAGCAATAAAAAACAAATAGAGACCTAGTTCCAGTTAGTGCTCATTAATCAACTATACCTTAACATCACAAAGGAAAACAGGGGTGACTGAAAATCAGCGCTGTTCGATTTATCAACCTTTATAGCGCTTCAATACGAATGCACCGGACGTCTTATCCTTTAGGCCACGACGACTTCTAAGCTCTTCTAAACTCGACTAATAAACTCTCGTCCCTATAAAGCTCAATCTAATTTACCAGTCTCGAATCTTCTGATAACAACATCATACATCACTGCTTCTTCGTTATATACAAAACTTCTCGATTACACATTCGGAGCGTACGACGTTGAAGTCATAAAAATCTCGTAAAGTTACTACAAGTGGATATTAGAATGCGCCTTACGACTCGAACATACGGACGTTTTGAAGGCGGTTAGGTTTTCGAATTTTCCAACATGCGCCCTTTTTTTGTTCCATCGGGAGTTAAACAGTCCTACCACCATTAAAAAATACAATTTAAACCACTGTTTTGCAAACCACTAAATGTATCTATATATCTATCAGAATCACGTGAACTATAATGACATACCTAAGTAAGAGATATTCATAACGGTAAGCTTTTGTGTCTGTTCTTCAAATTGTACGAATGTTTATGCATTTTTCTTCTTCCTTTTATTCATCCAGTATATTAGATGACCAACCGTTAAAAGTATTGCACGTTCGGGCGATAAATTTACAGTTGAGATAAACGCATGTACGCTCGGAATGTTTTTTATGTGTTATTTATTCACATAGTGAGGTGCTGAGATCCTAAATAATTGATGTTTTGTTTTTTTTTAAATATATCCACGGAAAATTGGCACTGAATCTTTTAGTCTTCTTCTGAAATAATTTTATAATAAATTTCATAAAAAATAACTTTATAAAAAAGGAATCATTGCATAAATTGGCAGAAATGCGAGACTTCATTCAACTATTTTGTGGATTCAAATATCATTTTTGATTCAAGATAGTATTTTCAACACTAAATTGATTCGTCAAACGGTCACAGTAAGCTCATAAATTTTATTTTATTGCATGGACGGATAAATGAAATAACAGTTGTTACCGGAGTCCATATACATTACAACATGTCATGTATGACGCCATTTACCTCGAGACATACAATCTATGTCTAAATCATATACATATAGCTGTTATGTAACTGCAACATCCTACAAACCGAAACATATTACTGCTTTGCGGTAGAAATAAGGAAAGTGGTATGTACCCGCGCAGGTACCCGATTTTTTATTGCACGACTAGCGGCCTGCTCCGGCTCCGCTCGGGTCTTTCACAAAAATTTCAACGATATTTGACGTTGTATTATTTTCTTAAATAAAAGAACCGTTATTGCGGCATCACTATAATAGTTAGACATATTATTATGCTGGTTGCGACACTTTTTGTAAACAATAATGTGTTCTACAAAGTCGTAGTACATTATTTTATTCTATTATGAATAGTTTTCGCAGGGCACGCGACGTGTATATTTTTGATAATTTTTTTACACCTTGAGTTACATTATTGGAGTTTTAGTAAAGATCCCTATTTTTTTTTCAAAAAAGATTATAGCCTATCACTCGGGAATAGTGTAGCTTCCAAACGGTGAAAGAATTTTTCAAATCGGTTCAGTGTTTTCGGAGCCTATTCAATACAAACAAACAAACAAATCTTTCCTCTTTATAATATTAGTATAGATATTATTACTTCACTACGAAGTCATGCGCTCACTCACTAAGTACGTATTTCATTTGAATAATTGGTATCTGTGGGATTTCACTGACCATAAATCATAATCCAGCGGATTAAGATCGGAACTAGACGACAGCCAGTCTTCAGCTCTGATGAAGTCCGAAACGTTCGTTTCCAACCAAGACTGCGTAGACCGAGCTTTATGTCCTGGCGCCGAGTCTTGCTGGAAGGACCATTCTTGATTATTGAACATGGTGTTGTTAAGGGGCTTCACTACCTTCTCAAGAATGGTATCTTGATACACTTGTGCTGATGTTTTGATACGTTTTTCAAAAAAGTATGGCTCAGTCACTCCTTCATAGCTAATACCCCACCAAACCATCTCAAATTTTCTCATCCGTAAACAAAAATTTTCTCAGACCTCACTTTGCATACCGCTTCAGTAGTTGTTTCGATTTTACCACCCTTTTCTCTTTTAAATTATCAGTTAAGAAATGACCAGTACATCTCGTACAGGCTGCAAGTCCCAAGTCATCTTTTAAAATAAGCGACATGGTTCTAGGTGCTATCTTCATCTCCCGAGATAAAATCTTTTGCTTTCGGACAGGATTTCTTCGAATTCTTTCCCTTACTGCTTTGACCACCTTTTTCGTACGAACACTACGTGGACGGTCATATATTTTTCTGTCACAAACAGAGGAGGTCTCATTGCACCTATTAATAGCCCGGTACACAAACATTTTACTAATACCAAGCGTATGGAGAGTTTTAAAAATTGCATTTGGCTCCGTACCTACTTTGTGTAATGCAATCACAGCGATTCGGTTCTCTTTATCACCCCACTCCATTTTAATATCGCAAAATATTGTACAATGTATTGGCGCCAAAATGAGAAAACTCAATGAGCAATCATATAAAAATGACAGATTCCAAATTCAAATGTAATATTTTGTTTATTTTTTATTGTAACAGTATTTATGGCCAGACTAAGTAGTTACATTGGGATAACGCTAAATTTTACCGGCAACTTCATTTGCCTATAAGGTAGGAGTGGGTGATATAAATCGTATCTAGATTCAATATCTATATATCGCAGCAATATCGTTGAATCCGATATCGCCCCGCACAAAATCTATATATCGATATCAGCCGATACACGATATTGCTCGATGTGATGCGCATCGGCATATCGTACCGATTCGTGAATCGAAATCTATATAACGATATCAGTCGATACACGATATTGCTCGATGTGATGCGCATCGGCATAACGTACCGATTCGTGAATCGAAATCTATATATCGATATCAGCCGATACACGATATTGCTCGATGTGATGCGCATCGGCATATCGTATCGATTCGTGAATATCAGCAATATTCGTTTGGTTCGTATCGAATCGGCCAGAGTGAGCGAGCGCACGATAGGGATATCATGTGATGAATGAAACAGAAAGAGGTATTATCCATACAATTGTAAACCTTATATTTAAGTCCATATGTCTGTAGATTATTCTTAGCGTCGTATCAGCAGGATACAATTTAGGAAAGAAGTTTCAGCTTTCGACCCTAACTTGAATGCAGTATAGCCTATTTGCATCGTTGAATTTAATTTCACGCGCTTTGACCTTGAACTAGAATTTTTGGACAAGTGTTTATAAATACTTAAAAGTTTTTTGTGTTTGATTTTTAAAGTACGCATTTTTCTATTTTTAGTTGAATCCAAATAATTGAGTTTATTTCTTGTGTTTGTATTAAACTTTTGAAATCTACACTCTTTTGGTATATTTTGTAATTTTAAATTAAGACACAAAATACTACAAACTGAAAATAATGTAGCCAGTCCTCAGCCTGATAAAAGCATGAAGGAAAGTTTTTTTTGATAAATTTCATTTTCATGTTCTTTTTATTACTTTAAAATCATATTATAAATTGATATCAGAAAACCAACCGTATAACGTTGACTTAAATCTATATCTACTACGATATTATATCAGCGTATCGTTTCAAATCTCAAATATCATAAATCGAGAAAATCTACTAGCATCCATCAATATATAGATTCAGAAAATATATAGATTCAATATCCGATATTGATACTGGATATATAGATACGATTCGATACGCGGCAAAACCGATATTACCCACTCCTACTCTAAGGTGAAAATATTTTTAAATATAATAATAGAATGTTAAGAAGCTATTTAAGGTACCAAATCACGCTTTTTAAGCGACTTCAAAAGACGAGGTTATCAATTCGACCACAATTTTTTCATCAATGTATGTACATACCCTTCCTCAACAAATGGGCTATCTAATACTGGAAGATTTTTTCAAATCAGACCAGTAGTTCCTGAGATTAGCGCGTTCAACCAAACAAACAAACTCTTCAGCTTTATAATATTAAGTATAGATTATCTATTACGTCAACTCTACCTAGCGAGCAACAACCAAGCTCTTTAAGTGGAGTTTGAAAAGTTTTTTTTATGAATTTAAAGTGTTTTATTATTCAGGAATGCACCGAAAATCGATAGAGGCAGCTCGTCACCTCAAGGAATCAGGGTCGGAACGGGAGGGATCTGAACCGGAAGCGGACAGGGCCACGTCTACTTCTCCACATCCTCACGAAAATCAGGTCGGTGCTCGTCTTCATATGCTTCAATCACAAAATTAGGTACCACCGCCCTGCTTGTTTCTGCCGTGAAGCAGTAATGCGCTTCGGTTTGAAGGGCGGGGCAGCCGTTGTGACTATACTGAGACCTTAGAACTGATATTTCAAGGTGGGTGGCGCATTTACGTCGTAGATGTGTATGGGCTCCAGTAACAACTGAACACCAGGTGGGCTGTGAGCTCGTCCACCCATCTAAGCAATAAAAAAAAATATAAATTGGTATAAACATAAATTGCATTATTCTTTTTTGCATCTAATGTTTTGCATTTGTGTTTATTTTGATGTACAATAAGGCATACACTCTCTTTCTTTCTTTCTTTCTATTTCTCTCTTTCTCTCTCTCTCTCTGCTCTCTCTCTCTCTCTACCACCAGCAAAACTAGGGGGCGACCAAAAAATAGGGACTTTTTACTATGGGTGGTTAAATTGGATAAGTGCCTTAGCACATGGACGACATTACATTCCCACGAAGGATAAGGACCAAACTAACTAAATTAATCATACTTTTATAATGTAATTTCGGGTTTGTACATATTTTCATTTAATGATTTCGAACGTTTCAACAAGTTTTTGTTTCCGTGGTCACGGAGGATTGAAATTAATATTCTAACGAAACCAGCATATTCTAGTTTTAATTGCGATAGTTTTTGTAGGAATGTCTTTCCAAGAATTTACATTGAAATGCTAAAATTGTTATTCCAGTTCCAATTGTTAGTCTGAATTGCATTCCACAATGAGTTTCACCCACGGTGATATTGTTTGTAGAAGTTTTGATAGTACTTTTATTGGAAATAATCTTACACGGCTTATAAAACTTGTGCACTACATTTGGACCGGCGATTTACCTTTTTTTAAGTGGTTAATGAAGCCCATAGACATCTATAACTTAAATGCGCCACCCGCCTTGAGATATAAGTTCTAAGGCCTCAAGTATACTTACAATGGCTCCCCACCCTTCAAACCGAAACGCATTACTGCTTCACGGCAGAAATAGGTAGGGTGGTGGTACCTACCCGTGCGGACTCACAAGAGGTCCTACCACCAGTAATCTACTCCTAGTCTAACTGTTTGTACCGGCGTATCTATGTATATTCCAGCAAAATGTAGGAATTAACGCGTAGACTTTAAGTACTTTTGCTCTGTGTGTTTGGTCCAGCTCACGGGTAACCGGGCAATGGGTACAAAGAAAATACCGAAGCTCGGAAGTCTAGGGTATCGATTGTTGCTGGCGGTTGCATAAACCGGGCTGGGAGTCTAGTTAGCCCACCCAGCGGCGGATTATCCGTAAGGCAAACTAGGCACGTTCTTAGGGGCGCGTAGTTACAAGGGGCGCGCTAGCCCAGAAATTTTTTAATAAATAAAGAAAATAACATATCGACGAATAAGAACTAAATGATGATCTATAATCTAAATCTTCTGTCGCCCCTCGTGATTTCTTCACAGTTATAACGTCATATTTCATTCGCGCATTAGCGTAAGTAATACTCTTGGTCTACTAAAGTCCAGAGTTTGATAATACAACGTCATCGTAATTGCAAAAACGACTAGTTAAAATGTATAGTATTATGATGGCCGGTACAGGAGCGCCGATAAAGTGATTGTCTAGGGCGCCCTGGACCTTTAATCCGCCACTGAGCCCACCTACCTGTTCAAAGTCACGCGTACGGTCATAGCTCTGCGCTTAAAGAAGATCAGTCACCTCCTCTATTCGATTCTTTTCGTTGTTGAATGTAGCTATGTTATTTTTGTGTTACCAGGCGCAAAGCTCTCCAGCGAGCAGTACTACTGCATCATCGTCGGCTAGGGGTCGAGCGTCGCCCGACCCAGCGCGCGACGACCCCGACGCCTTCCGCAACAACAGCATCGCCTGTCTGCGGGCCAAGGCGCAAGAGCACCAGGCTAGAATACTCTCCAATAACTTACTTATGCAGGTACGTCCTTCGTCTTTTTGTTAGGTGAGCTACAGATTCGGAAATCTAACGTGAAACGTGCCTTAGTGACAGCAATGAGTCTCGTAGAAGCTAGAAAACATCACAGTACTAAGTAGAAAGATGTTTAAAGCCAGAGCTTTGCAGTAAAATACAGGAAATACGATGGCGCAGTGTGTTTAGTACCCCGGTAAAGATGGGATCCCTTTTTACAAGTACTCATTAAGAGATCTCGTGGACGAATCCCCATGCGCTGGACTGATCAGGTGAAAGACCTTACTGAAACCCCACTTAACGAGTGTGTGCGCCAAGCCTCGGTTCGCAAACTATGGAAAACATCTGTCGAGGCTTTAATAAGCAAGAATTCCACTTGACCACGACTGCTCTGCCAAAAGCAACCGATTATGATGATGATAAAGTAGGACAGTCACGATTCCAATACCTACTGTAATACTTCGAGATTAAGTCTCTTTGACATTTACGTTATAAAGGTATTTTACTGCTATTGACAGCAAAAGAATTAATAATATAGAGTGCCTTCTCGGACTCGCAGAAATCGAGTTAAAATTACCTACACATAAATAAAGTCTCTAATGAAAAAGAATCTAATGTTTTCCATTCTACTAATTCCAGGTCCGCGGCCTAACACGCACTCCGATCAGCACTCCTAATGCGGAAGATGACGGTCCCGGAGACATAGACGTGGGCACGGAGCAACCACTGGATACCACGGCCCATCCCGCGCATTTGTATTGACAGACCTATTGACAGCTCAACGTAATGACATATTGACGCGCTGGTTTGACATAATCAAAGATGTCGGCGACGGAGTCCACATTGACGCGGATCAAAAGAGCGCTCTTGATTTTTATTTTACTATAATAATAAACGTTATTTTTAGTATGTACGAAACTTTGTGTGTTCAAGATCGTTGATAGAATTCGTAACAAAGTTGTATATAAATACTCCACTGATAGAGCTGTCTACATAAACAGAGTGAAATCCTTGTCTACAGTTTATCGAGTCGAGTCTGCACAATGTTATGCGAAAAAACATAACTGCATATTCAATTATGCACAACTATGCGAGTGCACGATGAAATGCATTCGCGCTCTATGCGCGATTTTTTGTTACGAAAATTCTACCATCGATTCTTCTAAGAGCTTTAGCACATACCTACTATAAATAACGTAAGTGTATTATAAATTTCAGCACGCGATAAAAAGTCCATGTTCTCTGTCTTTGGTTATATTATTGTATAAACTGCAATTCACTCCACTGTAACAACTAACAGTCCGCATGACCAGCGCCTTTCAAACTTCGGATTCAACTCAAGTGTAATTATGTAAATTATTGTTACGCGTATTTAAATGAATCCTCTTCGTGCAATACATTTAGTTAAGTATTTATCTGCAGTAGGATTGAGATAGGATTGTATAAAGTTTCCAGTTCTTAGATTATTTGGCGAGTCGACGTGGGAACGATTCGGAGTCTAAAGCATGATTTAAATGACAGTTAATAAGTTTGACAGATGTCTTAATGTGTCATGACATTACCACAGATTCAGAAAACGGGCGATTCAAACATTTATTTTGTTTAAGAATCGCTTAGCATTTATTTTATTTTTTATGACTCTTTTTTACCACGAAAGTATTGAAATTCCACTTCACACCTTTACTTGCGTGAACATAAAAGATTTATGGTACACGTTTTATTATTTCTTCTTGTCTCGTTCTGTCGACTCGTGCCAAAAATTAATTGTATAAATTAAGAAAACTAGTTCAATATTTTGTGCCCTGTTGTAGTTTTAAAGCGAAAGACTATGTAAATTGTTTAAGATATAACACTGTGTTTCCACAGTCTAGTTTGGCTGGACATGACGGCTGATGTATATATTATACATTCAGTGTCGTGGTTACCAACAGAAGAAATCGACTGTGAAAATACGGTGTTAATGTTGGTGGTACTAAATAGTTTGTAAGTGTGCCGTTTTAATGTTTGTGATGCTGACTACAGAGTAACCAATGCTTGTGTTACTTTTTTTCTGATCAAAATAAAAGCTATTATGTATTATTTATACGTCTATACCTACTTTTTATAGCTACAATTTCAGTTGTAAAACCTCTTTGTAAGTGCTTTTGACAAATTAGGACATATAAAAGTGAGAATCTTTCTAAGCAGTCAGCATCACAAATTGGTGAAACTCAAACAAATGGCAAGCAAATCTTCTCGTATCGAACGAAATCACACATCGAAAACATTCCAAGAAAAGACTTTACCTTAAAAATTATAAAAGAATTTTCTATAAGTTTCATGTCACCTTTCTTTAAAATAAAAGTATGTATAAATTAAAGAGATACAACAGATCTAACGGATGTTACAGGAACTAAGGCTGCATGAAACTAGATATCGTAGTCAGCGATAAATAAAAAAAAAGAGACATCCTCAACGAAAATTTCACGGTATTTTATAATTTTAATAAAAGCAAAATGGCAATCTTTTTCATTGTTCTAATTGTTATGTTTCACTTATTTTGGCTAATCTAATGTTAGTATTCTCTTGCTACAATAACGTTTATAATAAATCACATGTATCTCTGTGACTATTCTATTTTATAGACATTGTTATTTTGGTTTATCGCATCATGTATTTCTGTAACTCTATGGTAGATTAACCGATTAAAATAAAATGCTTTAAAAAAGTCTTTTTTTAAATAGCACTTCACGCTATTCATCTTTAACGATCGCGTGATATTTGAATTTGTTTGATTAAACCTTATTTTGTATATTTCCGATAGCGAAACAATGAACGTAGATACTTTAATGATAATACTATATGTACTTACACGATTACGTCATAGAAATGTAATATATTTATTAAATTAAACAAGTATAAGTAACGTTCATCGTTATACTTAAGAATTATTTCGATGAAATAAATATGTATAAAATACAAATTATGCAGTTTTACTTGACATTTACAAGTACACTTTATTATGCTTATGTTACCCAGCAGAACTTCTCTTCTTCGTTTTATTTTGGTCAATATGACCATTGATGCCATTTTTGAAATACGAACCCGATAAGACACATCCAGCTTTTTTTTTTTAAATGCGTGGAACAGCTCACGGCTCCCTGGTGTAAAGTAGTTACCTACTGAAGTCTATAAAAATCAGCAACGTAAATGCCTCTCCCCAGTTTGAAACATGCGTTCTAAGTCTCAGTTTTTAACGGCTGTGAGTTCAGAAGACGATGTATCATCAGTAATCACACAAATTATAATTTGAGCGAGTTTTATTTTTATTACACGATGCTATTCCTTCGCCGTGGAAGTCATTCGTGAACGTTTGTTAAGTACGTATTTTATTAGGAAAAATTGGTACCAGCCGACGGTAGAACGAACACCGGAACAGTCGCATTGCTCGATACAAACGCTCGGGGCACCTTATCCTTTGGACCATGACGATTTCCCAAGACTTGTGCACTTTTCCAGATGCTGTTGATAAGCCATATTACACACTTAAACCTGAATAATCACAAAATCAACAATATAAAATAATCTACACAATTTAACCCTAAAAACGTTGAAAATATAATATGTAATGAACAAAACAGTAGTCAACTGCACTGTCAACAACACTGAAGTATTTTATAAATGGAAAACACTGCTCAGAATAGTTATCACAAAAAATACAAAATGTGTGCAATTCACACGAGGTAGAAGTGAAACCTTCCAAAATTAAAATACAATTATCCTAAACGTCTTAAGTATATGTAAAATTTTGTCATTAGTTAATAATTGTAAGGTAGCGCCCTCTGTGAATTGATATTTTAATTTCACGTATAATCCTAAATTAAAATTCACTACAACAGCTTTCATACACACGTTAGTATTAAAAAATCTCACAGATGGCGCTGTATTAAATAGTATGTATATTTCTGTCTCATCCTTTGCTGGCTTCATCCTACACATTTTTGTATTTGTGTCTCTTACCTGTCGTTTTTTCGATTCTAAAGAAGTTTTCACTTCAACAAGTCGGGCAACTTGTTTGAGTCTGACCTGTGACGTCAGGATCGGTGACTGTTTATAGAAATGCTTGGCATAAAACGCCTAACGAGAGTAGAAGCCGGTCACCGTCCTCGTCGAACCCGTCGCTTGCGACGAAGGGCTCGACGAGTGAATTAACCCATAGACACAGCCCACTGAGTTTCTCGCCGGATCTTCTCAATGGGTCGCGTTTCCGATCCGGCGGTAGATTCTGCGAAGCACTGCTCTTGCTGGGGCCAGTGTTAGCAACACTCCCGGTTTGAGCCCCGTGAGCTCACCTACACCGTCTACACGTCAAGAAGCTGAAATAATCTCTCGAAGCTATCAGCATAGGTAGGGAAAAAGAGAGTAGAAGCAAGGAGAACCATCTCAGTGTATTAATAAGTCCGCTGAAAGAGAGCCAATTAGAGTGGCGCCATAGTAGAAAGAGGAAAGATTTTAAGAACATCGCCATAACTACCACACTTCACTGTTGAAAGCTGCTTTATTCATTTCATTTCCACTTTTTTTTAAATTGCCTTTGTAGGCCGACGCGCATACGGCCCACCTGATGGGGTGAGTAGTTACCGTCGCCCATGAACATCAGCAAACCCAGGGGCAGAGCCAAGCTGCTGCCCTACCGTTAAGTACTCCAGAAGCCTCGTTTGAAGGACATAGCGCTATACTCTCTCTATTCCGTGGCGGGCGGTGCGATAGCTACTCTGGTTTACCATCGACGACTACTCTATGTTTTGAAAGAGTTCATTTTTTAATTTCCTTGGCAGTCAATGATTGTGCGTTTTAAACACTAGTTAATTCTTTCCTAACTGACTAAGACTAAGGAAGTCTTTTCGTATATTGTATGTACCAAGAAAAAACTATTTATTTTCCTAGTATTGTTTTTACCATTTTCATTTTCGTCGTATAGGTTTATTATTTATTGCTTAGATGGGTGGACGAGCTCACAGCCCACCTAGTGTTAAGTGGTTACTGGAGCCCATAGACATCTACAACGTAAATGCGCCACCCACCTTGAGATAAGTTCTAAGGTCTCAGTATAGTTACAACGGCTGCCCCACCTTTCAAACCGAAACGCATTACTGCTTCACGGCTGAAATAGGCAGGGCGGTGGTACCTACCCGCGCGGACTCACAAGAGGTCCTACCACCAATGAAGTTTGCACGTAGTTTGATTAATGTGTTCGGTTAGTTTTGTGTGTCAGATTATATTCTACGCGTATTGGGTTTTATGCAATAATAGTCATTAAAACACAAATTACTTCAAACAAAGCACCATTTAATAGCATTTACAACATCAATAACATGTTTTTTTTCTTCTTCTTATATACTAATTCTTAACTGAGTGCGTGGTTGAGGCATGGATACATATTAAAAAAAAAGTAATTATATCTTAGCTTAAGACTTGCATGTATGCCATCCATTGCGCTCCGAGAATGAGATAAATTAGTGGAAATTCGTTTTTTACTCGTCAAATTCACTGGATATTTTTCAACACGGTTCCATCCATCGTCAATGACTGAATTGCGTACAGTAATATGGAATACTCTAGAATGAACGAAACATAAGAGACTTAATTGGCTTTTCTGTAATATAATGGGAAAACAACATTTAAAGCCCTTAATCTCTTTTTTAATTAATAGGTATTTTAAACATTATTATTATTAGATATATTATGCAAAACTAAACTATTTTCTTCAATGAATGACAAACTGATCAGTTAGACCGCCTAATAATAATCTTTTTTTTTAAACTAAAGAGTTTTAAAGGTGCGTTACATGTGTGTTTGCAAATTTTGTTTTTACCTCGTCACTAATATCGAACTCACCTGATCTATGAGACGTTAAAGCTCTTATTAAATGTTGAGAAATTTACAGTTTTATTACTATTATAATAAACATGAATGCAATTTAATAAGACGCATGCATACATGGACATGTCGAAATTTTGCGACTTACGCAAAATTAATTCTCATTTAAATAGCATTTTTGAGTTAAAATTGTGCATTTCTAAACTCAATTGAATGTTATTTAACGCTTATATTTTGATTTAACAAACTAATTTGACACGTAAATGTGGATTAATACATATCGACGCTTGAAAGGCAAACGTGACTAAGGGACAATAACTCTACTTTATACATAAATGATAGGCAATATTCGATGCGCAAAAAATATATATATTTCTAAGTCTATTAAAATAATTTCAATCCTTCAGCTAGATTCGTTAAAATAGATTTTTTTTCAGGTATTTCAATTTTAAATTAGTGTACTGTATAGTTCACGCATTGTCGCTTAGTCACGTTTGCCTTTCAAGCGTCGATATATTTCCACACAAAGTTGCTACTTTCACTACGGAGAAAAAGCTCTCTTCAAACCAAGCCGAAACGTGGCTTTAATTTCAACAATGTAAATCACTTTAAAAAATATCAAAATTCAAGTCGTAATTAGTAATTTCATACAAAAATTAATTCTTTCTTTTTATTATTCTATGACAGCCCTGAACTAATCCAACAAGAGTACCGTTAGGCCTCTCATTCTGTTAGACACATCGGAACGGGCTGGAAAATAACAAACTCGTTCGACTCATTTTAAAAATTGAATTCGACACAAAATTCAACCATATTACTAAGGTCATAGGGCTCAAAATAATCTGCAAATTTCAATACAATTACGTCGAACAATACTAAATTTCAACTTTATTGCAAACACAAAAGAAGCTGTTTGATATGCCGATACAGCCGAAGCGGATTAACGGCACCTACGGATTGTTTATGGTTATGTTTATTTCAATCAGTTCGGAGAGCCCACCCGACTAAACCGGCCGCTATTTTGGGATTTTCCAATAGTTTGTATTTTTAATAAATCTTTGTGAGGTAAATAAAGTTATCACTTATATCTATATATGTATAATATAAATCCTGTATACAATCAAAATTCACTGGGTGGTTCATACATTTCTTAATTATTAAATTTAAGTTCTATTAACAAATTCACAGAAGTTTAATCAAACTACCTTCAAGCCATATTTTTTTCTTCTAAAACATTTATTTGCTTTAAAAATGTTTGCAAAAAATATTATTTTTCTGTGAAAATAATCTTACAATATATTTTACATTTCTGAAACATTTAAAATTCGAGGTACCCACGTAACTAAAAAAAAACAAAACATTAAGACAGTATTTATATAATAATTATTGAGGTAGTAAAATAAAGCAGCTGCTTTTTTTTTTAAATATTAATCATAAATGCGAAAGTGATTGCTCTCGTCTCTGGGAACAAAATTATTTATTTCAGAAACAAGTCCATATGTGTATATAGATAGAATCATTGAAATATATTTAAAATTAACATTTACACATCATCAATAAAAACAAATAAAAATATACTATATATGTATATGATTAAAAATAATTATCAGTTGAATACATTTATAAATATTCATATCGAGAGGTGAAAGGCTATTTTAGTTTAAGCCACATTTTGCTTAACACGCGTTATTTATCTTTGTAATTAAAGGTACGTTTTATTTAGTACAATAGTATCAACAATTCCATATTTTTAATTGAACATCAATTAAGTTTACCGCGTTCAAACAGCTGAAGAAGTTTTTTTTCCCCTGTAGGCAGACGAGCATAGGACCTACCTGATGGTGAGTGGTTAACGTCGCCCATGGACTTCAGCAATGCCAGGGGCAGAACCAAGTCCCTGCCTACCGAACTTTATAATATTGTGTTGGTGGAGGATGGCTAAATAAATAAACTTTTTATGATTATTGTCAGAGTGATTCTTAAACAAGATGTATATTTATAGTTAGGTTGTGTTTTATTTAAAAGATAATGTTATTAAGTTAGTTATTTGTAATACGGAAATGACTTTGCTCCCCTCCAAGCCGCTGCCTACCACTTAATACTCTCCACAAGCCTCGTTTTTGTCATGATTTTTTTTTCCAAATTTACCACTTTTAATGTCTCTTCTGTAAAGTTGTAAAAATGTCGCTTACCGACCAGCCTTTCACCCGTCGATATTTAATGCTGACACGTCTTATACTGTGCGGCTCGAGTACCTCCGACAATGTGCGCGAATCAAAAGTAACATCATTATTGTATCATACTAAATTAATTTCGTATTCTCGTCACTAAATCGATACAAGAATAAAACTGTCATTAAATAAAATTAGCAGTTTTTTTACAAACAAATATGGATACAATTACAGTACGGTGCAAGCAATCATAGTAATATCATTGTTATATCAAATTAGGTTAGACCCACATATTTACAGTTTCGACTAGATTCACAGGGTTGATTTAAAATACATACATATAAGAAAAACTTTCATATTGATCATCCTTGTTCATTGAGACATTCGACCTCAGATCTCAAAGTAAATGGTATATTAGATATCATAAATACTTTATAAAACATAGGGCTGTGAAGATACTAACGTTATCGTCAACGACTATACATTTTTGAAACATGAGTTTATAAATATTACATTAATGGTTCTTAGTTCTCCTATACGATCAATTAAATGAACCTTTCCCAAAGTGGGCGATAACGCCCCTTTTTGGCCGCTGCAGGCATAAAAGGGGGCGGTAAGAGACCTAGGAAAAGGGGGCGTTGTATAGAGGCTTGGGAAGAGATTTGTAATTTCGTCTAGGATAACTCTTAGGTTGGGTTCACACGGCATTGCCCTGCATATTTTCTTTGTATTCGTTGTTTTAACGTACAATCATCTAGGTGTTCGTGCGGTAGATTTTCATTCGTGTAAAAACGAACGTGTAAACGAGACAGAGCTATATACTATGTGCCACTGCCGTTAAAATTCATTCGATTTGCATGACAAGTCCGTTGAGTATTCGTTTAAACGCATAAGCGGTGTACGTTTTTTTGCAGTACAAATGACACGCTAATGAATCTATGTACAATGTATGTGCCACTATTCATTCGTTAATACGTATACTGCAGATAAACGTGCAGGACAATGCCTTGTGAACCCAACCTTCGATTAAGCTCTCGCTCTATAGTGGTTTTTAAGTAGGTGAAATAATGGGGGCGCTAAAAACCAATTTATTCTCAAAGTGACGTAGTAGACAAAATAAGTTTGAGAACCTCTGAATTAAATCAAAATGCTGCCGTCTATTATAAATGTTTTGTATTTCAATATTTGTACTTAAACATTTGCTTTTCTATCACTAGCGCTCCGTAGGCGGACTGCTACACATGTCTCTACATACTACTTTAGTCTGAGCACGCCGCTGACAATATTTTACTTCTAGCTGCTCTTGAGTTGTTAGGTCTCCTTCGGAGGCGCTCGGGCAGCTGTTAGCAAAACCCCACCCTTCCTGGCTGAGCCTTTGCTCGTCCACTTGTCCTGGTGAAACCGGAGAGATCTCCGGGACACCAGTAACCATTCAATCATAATCTATATCTATACTAATATATAAATCTACAGTAGTTTTTACGGATGCTCCGTTATAACTACTGAACCGTGCATCCGATTGACTTGAAACTCGGTATCCATGTAGAAAATACATGTACTTAGTGGATAGACTAATATTTATTAATGTTAATTTTATATACCCAGCGAAGCGGACGGGTACAGCTAGTATATATATATATATATTCGACGTACAAGCTCTACACGTTCCCACAAAAATATAAATGCCGACAATTGCTTTTTGTATCATACGAGTACTTAATTTGCACACTTTAAGTACGTATCTTTCAAAAAAATCAAATATCAAAAATAATTACCCTAATTTTTTTTTCAGAAAACATTCTGCTTAATGGCAACACCGTATTTGTAACTGGTACGGAGTTAAATACTCGAAAAATATAACTTCCGTTTTTTTTTCTTGTTTTTTTTTTCAATATTTTCTTTCATGAAACTGTCGAACGTCACATGTAAAGTGTTTACATAAAATCGACCTTGTTCGGATTGCTCATCTCCTGGGAGCTCTGCAGCAGGAGACTGTAGCTGTACACCGCGAGAACGCAATAAGCGATCACACCTGAAATAAAACAAAACTTAAAACAATAACATTTCCTTTTAACAAACATACCTACTTACGTTACCCGTGCTTGTTTTGAAAACAAATGACGATTTGATAAATCAGTTCAGAGGTCAGAGGTTCTTAATGTTTACGTCTGGTTATTTATCACATTATATCAAATGTATATATCGTCTTCTCGCATTAAAACTATACTAGAGGTCCCGCAGTAGTCGAAATTCGACTATAAATAATTGGAATTGTAAGTTTGTACACTATTATGATTGTATTTTATACTTCTATAATCACAAATTTCGCCAATACTACTATAAAAAATATTAACAAAGACAAACAATATTTAATGTATTCTCAATTTGACAACAGACGTCAAGAACAAAAGTTTGACAATAAATAATATGCATGCGTGTGTGCATCAAATACATGGTATGTAGTGTGTGTAATGTTTTCTTTATTGATTGAATGTATCTTTTATGCATTATTTTAAAAAAATATTATCATTGTGCATTTCTTCTCTATATTCTCTATAAATGTGGGAAATTTCATACTCCTCCGTCCGCGCAATTTTCGTAAAAAGGGATACAAAGTTTTTGCTTCACGTATTAATATATAGATAATCTCAAAACTTACTAATTTTACAGGAGAGTGTTTTAAAGGTTTAACATGTGATATTTTTAGTATTAATCATCTTTGCTACCTTTTTTTTTTAACCAGTTACATTATCTGTCTCTTAAAGTAAGATAAAATTATGTATTAATTTTGTTAATATTAATCAAAACATAGGTAAACTAAAAAAAGAAAAAAAACTACGCTCTTTTGACAGTATTTATGAGAAAAATACTAGGTGATACCAAATGATTCCGCATCTTAAATGAATTTCGAATTAAATATTATCTTTTAAATAAAACACAACCTAACTATAAATATATCTCTTGTTTAAGAATCACTCTGACAATAATGATAAAGAGTTTATTTATTTAACCATCCTCTACCAACTCAATATTATAAAAATCAGTAGGCAGCGGCTTGGTTCTGCCTCTGGTATTGCTGAAGTCCACGGGCGACGGTAACCACACACAATCAGCTGGGCCGTATGCTCGTCTGCCTACAAGGGTAATTAAAAAAAAGCACAGTTAGCTTCTCCGGAAGACGGTGGGGCCACGAAACCATTACAGCCAGCAGGAGGCCCAATAACACTGAGTTTTTTATTTATTGCTTTGATAGGTGGACGAGCTCACAGCCCACCTGATGTTAAGTGGTTACTGGAGCCCATAGACATCTACAAAGTAAATGCGCCACCCACCTTGAGATACTTATATCTTGAAGATAGAACTTATTCTAAGGTCTCAGTACAGTTACAACGACTGCCCCCACCCTTCAAACCGAAACGCATTTACTGCTTCACAGCAGAAATAGGCGGCGTGGTGGTACCTACCCGTGCGGGCTCACAAGAGGTCCTAGCACCAGTAACAAAGTTTCCAGACTGGGCCAAAATATAGCTGGAGCTTTGTTGTCATGATCTAAATTCTGACCTGACTCGTCTGAGACTATTGAATTTGTCACGTTTAAAGCAAAACAAAAACTATTAATTCTATTGTATAAGTGGTTCTTATCAGGTTTTTCTATTTTATCAAATCTCCGATATGCCACTATCATTAATAGATACCGAAAAAAAAAACTATAATATGATAATAAATAACACACTGAAATGGCGTGTTGTGAAATTCCCAAAACATCGAAAACCAAACCAGAATGAGGGGAGATAGATTTATTCGCTCCTAAAATCCTACCCACAGTTTTCAGTCTACTCATAATACCTAAAAACCCTAAGTAATAAAACCCATTAAATAAATAGTATACATAATTGAAAACCAAGAAAATATCACACAATAATAACAACTCACCAAAGGCTAAAACCGCTTCCAGAAACGCCACGAATATTTCAGATCCGGATCCGGAGAATCCGCACAGCACCATGGTTAAGATAATGAACAACAGCGCGCACACGAACAAGACTATCATTGTGTACACCCACACTTTGAGACCGGTTATGTTGCGCTGAAATTTACGGCAAATTTTCACGTTATTTTGCGACCCTGCCTTTTGAGTGAGGTACTTCTATCAAAACGGTCACCGTCCCCGCCGAACCCGTCGCTTGCGACGAAGGGCTCGCCGAGTAAATTAACCCATAGACACAGCCCACTGAGTTTCTCGCCGAATCTTCTCGGTGGGTCGCGTTACCGATACGGTAGTACATTCTGCGAAGCACTGCTCTTGCTAGGGTCAGTGTTAGCAACACTCCCGGTTTGAGTCCCGAGACCTCTCAAGGCTATCAGCATAGGTAGGCAAAAAAAAGCGCCTCTAAATTAAGATGACTAAGGCTCTATTGAAACTCTTTTTCGGTTAACCGTGACGTCATCGTCAAGCCAATATCCGCTACCACTTTTTGGAGATATTGAATGTTACGACCAGATTACTACTAAGCATTTTTGTATAAAAAGCAAAATTGGTTTTGGTATTTTTACATACTACATCGACGATATGCTATTTATGTAGGTCAACGTAAGTTCTGTTTTCTATATTGAGACATACGGTCGCAGTTACCTTGCAATGGAAGGAATAGCTGCTTCGTGGATAAAACAAACAGATGGTACCGACTAGAGCGATTCTCGAAAAACCGAATATTATTTAGTTTTATCAAAATCCGTCTTGTATTTTCTTTCAGCGCTATTTCATATTCCATTTTCACGCGATAAATACACCTTCTATTCGCTACTTTGGTCGAACAGATCGCTTATGTTGAACAAAAATGTGGTAAATTTTGTAGTACCTAAAGATTTTTTAGATTTAACATGAATTTTATCGATGCCTGCTCTTACGCACCCTTCGCTATTATCCGCTCATATGTCCCGTCACGGATCACCTGACATGGATTTTATACTACAACGCCTTATCAACTACCACTTGACATGGGCCCACTGTTCCCCCGCCATCTATTTTATTGAAACTTGCCTGTCTCCGTTTGTCTAAGGTCTACTTGTTTTTAACTATCTTCCTTCTCTGTAAAATTATCTACCTACTTAAGCCAAAAACAGTAAACAGGTATGCTGCTGTGTTTAGAAGTAAGTTTAACATCTTCCATCTTGTTATCCTTTGAAATTCTGGCTTAGTTCATGTAATTACCTGTTTTTATATTGCCATCAAAAAGTAACAAGGTATAAATAATACTATTAGTACTGTGGCGGTGTCTAAATTAAGAAAGAGCCAGTGTTTCTGTGAAAGTGAAAAATGTTTCGCAGAATATATTTTCTGTCTGACATTTTGAAATTAGCTTTCACTTCACTGAATCTTTGGCTGGCAAGATGGCGGCTACTACTAGGCAGTACTGTGTTCTTTTTTGCTAGAATTTCATTACTAAATCAAATTCCTAACGGCCAGTAAAACGATCTCTCTACAATTTAGGATGATATTTTAATTTAAGAATTTACCTTGAAGATTGAAAACATCAGAATGACAGCCAGCACCAGATGTATCAAGGAGGCAGCGACTCCGGCAACCGTGACCTTATACCAGGTCGAGTACACGTGGTCTTCGGCGTCTTCGATGGTACCCATCAGAGCACGGGCGTCCTCGGCACATACCGAACACACGATCACCAGTGCCAATGATAACAACTGGAAGATTATTGATGTCTTATTATTATTTATTACTAGTTGACCCGGCAGACTCCGTAGTGCCTCAATCGATAAATAAAAGATCTAAACTTTTGTATAAAATAAACTTAAAACAAACAAAAGGAATCCGTCCGACGGGGGACAGACACATCAAAGGAAAAACAAAATTGTTATTTTTATTTAATTCCGAGCATTTTCATATTTATCTACCTTTTAAACCTTCTCTGGACTTCCACAAATAATTCAAGACCAAAATTAGCCAAATCGGTCCAGCCGCTCTCGAGTTTTAGCGAGCGCTTAGATGTGTGGACGAGCTCATAGCCCACCTGATGTTAAGTGGTTACTGGAGCCCATAGACATCTACAACGTAAATGCGCCACACACCTTGAAATATAGTTCTAAGGTCTCAGTATAGTCACAACGGCTGCCCCACCCTTCAAACCGAAACGCATTACTGCTTCACGGCAGAAATAGGCGGGGCGGTGATACCTACCCGTGCGGACTCACAAGAGGTCCTACCACCAGTGTGACGCAGACAGTGCAGTCGGAAAAGCGTGGGTATTCGTTACTCATAAGCAATCCTTCCTACAAGATCAGCCAAGTTAGCCTCGTAAAAATACATGGTTTTTTTTTAAAATCAAAATCTGAGCGCTGACCGATTTTTCGAAAATTCTTCAAAGAATCCTTAATCCTTATATTTTTATTCGAAGAATGAAAATTTCCTTGATATTTTCTAAACGTATAATTTATTAGAGCAACACCCTATTAGTTTGTGATTAATTTCCATATTTATTTTAATACTGTAATTAATTTTGAAGTCGTCGTGGCCTGCGGAATAAGACGTCCGATGCATTCGTATTTAGCGATGCAACTGTGCCGGTGTTCGAATCCCAAAAGCAGGTACCAATTTTTTCTGATCAAATACGTACTTAACGAATGTTCACGAATGACTTCCAAGGTGAAGGAATAAAATCATGTACTAAAAATCCTCAAAACTTATAATCAGCCTGCAACCCCTGAAAACTGAGACTTAGAACCCACGTTTCAAAGTGGGTGGCCGAATTTACGTTGCTGATGTCCATGGGCTCCGGTGACCACTAAACACCAGATGGGCAATGTGAGCCAATCCGTCTTAGTAATGTAAAAAAACACACACACACAAAATGGCCGAATAAAATTTATTAACACCTAGTTGTGTAAACTCACCAATTGTAATGAACCAATTAGTTTTGAACCAGTCTCGAGTCCCCAGCAGCAACAAAACGAAGTCACGTGAGGTGGACTCATTTTGTTCAAGTTTTTAAAGACTCTTCTGAAATTGATATTAATTTAAATAAATGACGTATGTACATCTGTTTACACTGAAGATTATACATTCAAATTGGTCATTTTACGAACACATTTTTCGCACCTTGATGATGGTAAGAGGGAAAATGTCGGTTATGCTGTTATTTAAAATAACCTATCGGCTTCAGAGAATTTCGTAAGTTTTCCTCTCGGACCATTAAGGAAATTCTTAATGGAACGTTAAATATTTTAAATAGCAATGTAGTGATGTGAAAAATTACCAACCAATTATATTTCAGACAACAACGTTCGTACGCTATTCAAATTTGAATACGAACCATTCTCGCTAAAGAGTATTGTTGCGACAAAACTTCTAAATATAAAAAACTTAGCTTAATATATTCATCTATACTAATATATAAATCTACAATGGTTTTTACGGATGTTCTGTTATAACTACTGAACCATGTATCCGATTGAATTGAAACTTGGTATCCATGTAGAAAATATATGTAATTAATGGATAGGCTAATATTTATATGAGTGTTGGACTCCCTAATAATAATGACAATAAATAATAATATTAATTTAAAATGCCCAGCGAAGCGGGCGATTACGGCTAGTCATGTAATACAAAGTTTTTGTTTTGAATAATTTAAGACTGCGAATGAATTTTGATCGTTCGAAGTTTGAGCACCGTCGTTTTTCGCTCTTCAATAATATCAAGCGTTCATTGTTTGTTTACATTCATTGCTTCATTGTTATAATTCTTTTATGCAGATTTTAAATGCAAATCTATCTATTCTATCCGTGAAAAAACTAATTAATGTACGTATGGTACTGTGCCAAAGTGACAAAAACACTTTTAGAAGTATGTATAACCTTTGTAGTGTTTTTTCCCTGGTCGTAAAACGTACTGAAATATGAAGATAGTGGTGTTATTGAAGATTTGAAACATCTCCAACTTTATGTTCGCTGTGAAAACACTTTGTTATGTTGATGATGATGAGTTGATGAGTTTGTATTAATCTCCATAGTTCGTGATGTTGCTACAGCGTTCGGTAAAAAAAAAGGTAATTAAAAAAATATCGTTTTTATTATTCTGTGCAAATAATTGGTAAATGGTGCCTTCTTGGAAAAGATAAAGCAAATATGCATATTGTTTATTTTCTGTAGCAAATATGTAAATACAAAATATTGTATACATACCACATTAGTTTCAAAGCGTTTAATTTGACTTACGGGTCTGTTTGGTACCTGATAGCGGTTTAGTGTCTTTGGGAGGTAACGACAAAGGGAAGATCTTCCGTCGAGCGAGTGAAATAGCTTGGTAGACCGACGACGGTCCGAATCTTATTGTTCGGAACTTGTATATAAGCAAGCTTATCTTGAAAACGTTAGCGAGATTCAGGCATCTGTCCAATATCTTATGAATCATAACTACTACCAAATCTTAAACCTTAAGCAGTAGGTAGTTACATAGTTATACGAACCATTTATAGCAACTGATCTAGTTTGCAAAACGATCCATATAACTTTCGAAAATTAATTAATTCAATCAGATTGACTCAATTTTATTGCATAACAACGTCCCCTTCGAACTGGAACGCAAGAGGCGTGGCTCGGCTTCGCCCGTGTGCCATATATACAACTAAGGAAAAATGTCTAAAGTCTGCCCACTGAGTTTCTCGCCGGATCTTCTCAGTGGGTCGCGTTTCCGATCCGGTAGTAGATTCTGCGAAGCACTGCTCTTGCTAGGGTCAGTGTTAGCATCACTCCGGTTTGAGCCCAGTAAGCTCACCTACTAGTTAAGGTTACGCTGAAATAGCCTTGAGAGGCTATCAGGCTAGGTAGGAAAAAAGTCTAAAGTCAGAATTGGATCCGCCTTTCGACGCTACTCGCAGAACATGGATTGAAACGCTATACATTTGGATCGACGAGACAGACAATGAACGACGAATAAATAATCAGTAGGTACATTTCAGTTGTACCATATGGTTAATATATTTCACATTAGTTAATCTAAGCCTGGCTTCACTATAATATAACTGAAACAATTCAGGCGTGATATATAATAATATAATATAAATATATATACTATATACACTATAGTACGTTTCTGATACTATAAAACGTTTAAAGTGTCAAACAACAGTCTATTTAGAATTAGAACTCTTATTGGTTAAAAGAGAAAAGCTAAGGAATTTATTGCCGTAATAAAAATAAAAACACGGGTCTCAATAAAACGCAACTAAAACTATAATATTTTTCTAAACCAAGCCTCCCGTAGGTTTCTACAAACAGTTTCTTTGCATTCAACAGTCAAATTTGAAAGTTGTTCTACATACTTCGCTTGCGAATTTGTAGGCACGTGTACGTGACATGTAATCTTAAACAGAACGAGAACAGAGTACATTATGTGTTTTCAATTTAACTTGCTGATATTTTTAGTCTTCGAACGAACATTGTATTGAGAATCAAGGTCAAACACAAATCCAGTGCCAATATTTTTTATTCACATTTATCATACTCATGGCGAGTTTATCTGTAACGTAATTTATCAAGTTTTATTAGAATTAAGCGCAGGCAGAGTGCTAAGACGCCTAAGACGCATCGAATAACAAACACATTTTACGTAAATTACAAAGTTAATTGTGGGACAGAAACTTATTTAATGTTAGAGTTGGTCAATGGCGGGAACCCGATTTTTTTTTTCGGTTTGCTCCCCTAGGCAGGGAAATGTGTACATATCTTAAACAGCCAAGTCAGTATTTTATTGCAAATGGAAATGGTTTAAAAAAAAACTATCTTATTGCAACGTTACAAAATTAGTAAAATATTTATTTTTCCAAATAATATATGAATACTGAAATTTTTGCCGTACGAATTTTAAAACTGAACATGACGTAATTTTATTAGGACGACCTCGTGCCTACATTAGTCTGCGTTTTCTGTTTATTCGCGGAACACGTGAGCTCGTTATTAAAGTGTTTGAACTGGGCTTAGAATATCTCACATTCCATAGACTAGAGGTAGTAATAAGCCATATGGCACTAACCATTTAAAAAGTAACTGTGAGATAAACTAAGAATTCTCCATTGTGTTATCTTTAGAAAACTTCATTATGATATGACTTTTTGCAGGGAGGAATGACATACTTGGTGCTGAATAAAATTTATGCATTCTTTACGTATGTACAAGGATAAACATCAAGAACGGACACGTATAATATTTCTAAATATTCTGAAACATATACTATCATTTATCGTAACATAGTATCCTGATGATCGTACAAAAACAAAAGATGTGTTCACCTATATTCACAATTATCAACGACCTACAAGTTTCTTCTTTTATTGCCTTCGTAGGCAGATGAGCATACGCCCCACCTGACGGTGAGTGATTACCGCCGCCAATGGACTTCAGCAGTGCCAGGGGCAGAGCCAAGCCGCTGCCTACCATTAAGTACTCTTCACAAGCCTCGTTTGAAGACATGTCATAAGGCTTGAGAAACACTGTGGAGGGGAGCTCATTCCAAATCCGGATGGTACGTGGCAAAAAATATATTTGGAAACGCACTGTGGATGAACACAGTGGCTTCAGGTAGTATGGATGAACGCTACTATGGTGGCAGGCCGTGCGATGGTAAAAACGAGATAATGGGATCATCTCAATCAATTTCTCAGAGCACTCCCCATGGAACATACGGTACAAAACACAGAGAGAACCGAAATCTCTCTGCAGACCCAGAGATTCCAAACAATTCGTGAGAATCGGATTATCGACAATCCGAACGGCCCTCTTCTGTATGGAGTCAAATGGAAGTAGCTGGTATTTGGAAGCCCCAGCCCAGAGGTGTGAGCAGTACTCCACGTGAGACTGGACTTATGCTTTATAGAGCAAAGGACAAAAAAATAATATACATAACAGGTATATTAATATAATGATGAAAGTACCTTCAGTGTGGTGTATTTAATAACCACTGGGGATTCTAATTAAACTATCTCTCAATGAAATATTTTGAAAAGTTATCAACTCTGGAAATGTTCAGTCCAGTCCATAACTTTTAATTTATAGTTTGGCACTAAAAATAACTGATGGCAGCCTTAGAACTGGGATATAGTTTATAGGCCTCAACTATCTTACTTAAATTTGTAAAAGCTGGAAAAACCTTCAAACTTAATATATAAATTGTTGTTGTTGTTGTTGGAGTCCTAGGGTACCCCGCTGGTACATAGGGCCCTAACAACTTATCTCCACTTGGCGACGCACCGTGGAGAGCGAAATGAGGACTGGCATGACCTAGAGTGATGCCAAGTAGCAATATACTAATTAAGTGAAAATTAATATATTTTCATTTAATTATGAACTTTTTATACTTCGTATCTCCATCCCGCTATGCGGAGTCAATACAGCATGCCCTCATTTTCCATTCTGACCTTTCATATGTCACCTCTGCACTCACATTCTTCTCTCTCTCATATCCTCTTGCACACAGGATGGCCCCTCCTCATATTACTATCTACACTCTGACCTATACTTATTTTATCATAACCAGTGATTTCAATAATTTAGTTACTGCGTTCATCAAAAATAATAAATGGAGTTTAAACCATAAAAATAATATATCATTGATTCATAAAAATTGACGAAAATACTGTTCGAAGTATCGAAAATAACACTAACAGTTGAGTATTTAGATTTCATGGATCCTCTACTGAATACATTTTGGGGGCTATATTAAATGACAATTGTCATTTTCAAATGAGGAGACTATTTAAACATTTCCTCAGCAGCACATAAAGCTAAAATTTTACTGTCTAATTATGACTAAATGTTTTTGTTAAATGATTAATATACTGCACTATATAGACAGTATAGCTCTGCAGCAGTTCATCAATATTTTCAAGGCTAACACTGGACATAAATATGTATTATACCAGACACGCCACTACCCCTGATTCACAATTAGATAATGTAGTTCTGTTACAAGAAATGTTATTATTATTCCAGCCGATGAATATACAGCCAAGGAATGCTAAAAATATTGACAAGTCAGGGACAATTGTGTTAGCAATTCCTCCCAAGTGGGGCCCCATGAGCTCACAAACCAGTCAGTGAGCAAATGGGATAGCTCCTTAGGCTAGAATAACTTAGATAGGAAAAAAGCTGACAATTTGCTTAAATAAAAATACTATAACAACATAAGCCGGCATCTTTTAAGTTAGTTTCCAGTCTGATAATAGAAATACAACAACATAATTTTTTTTTTTTTTCAGAAATACCTATTTTTTAAGTTTTTAAAAGAAAGTTTGCACAACAATACACATTGCACTGTGATTGATGAGACTGTAAATGAGAAATTAAAACCTAATCTTTGTTTGATGTACCTTTGAGTAATGTAATTGCTACTGACTCTGAAATAATGTAAATTAATACAATAAACAGGTCAATTTTAAAATAAATGCAAGTGTTGTGATCACTGAAGGATACATCTCATACTGCTTTAGTTTTAGTTTCTATATGCTACTATATATTACATATGTAGCAGCATAGTCTCATGAAGAAAGATATTATGTGTTTAATAATTCAAACCATCCTACCTAATTTAATACAGTCATCCGGAACACATTTACACTACAACATTTAAATTTCCAAATTCCAATTGACTAGGGTCTCTACCATGGGGTCAGCACTTGTCAATGAATCTTAAATAATAGGTATTAATAAGAAGTCACGGTCATGTAACATCATCATGCATGTAATAGGTATCCTTGTTTTCTTACTTAAAGTCTTAAGCGTGTGGATAAACCTTATTTAGTTTATCCTAATTATTACCGGAAGAAAAGGATAGGGGGGAAAACAACAGTTAATTCTTCATTTATGAATTAAGTTTAATTCGTTTTCATTATTAAACGATTTTTTTAATACAAAACTTTTACGAAATACATACTCACAGTATTAAAAGGCCAATCGACGCAAATTATTTCGCTATGATATTACACTGAGCCACTGATAACGCAGTATAACAGTAAAGAGTATAATGTAAACACTATTTGCGTTTAATCGCGTCAATGTTATCCAAAAGAGAATATTAAGTGTATTATTTTAATAGAAAAGTAATCTGATGTTTACGTATGTATCACAGAAATACTACGTATGTGTGCGTGTTTAGTAAAAACAAATACAATCACTCTAACATATAACCATTTATAATATTGGTAATTTTAAATGACTATCACTATGCTATGCGTGTAATGTGTATGGTACGCATACGTAATTACATTTACGTAGGTACTACGTCAGTGTGACCACTGACCATCTATATGCTACAGACTACAGATCCTGCCTTACTTTAGTTGAAAACCTGTCAAATCTTGCCGTCTGTAGTAAAAAATGCCTAATTAATGCCAACTTTATTAACCGTTGTAATAAACAAAGAAAAGTAAAAATACAGGAGTTTCATATTTTCAAATACGCTCTTTCATATTTTCGCTTCATCACCAGTACCAATAATAATAAGTTTCGCCCAAGAAATTACACTAACAAGATATTATCCCCTTAAAATCTATAAGTATGTCTCTATGACTGATTAAATTGAAATATAAACCGTAAATTCGTGTTTATGAATACTCGTTTCAAGATTATCAACTTTCTAAGCAAAGTTTTAAAGTTGTTAATTGAATGTGATACGAATATAGCACGAGAAGTATGCGGAAATCCCCTACATGCTCACGAAGTATCTTCAGGGTTGTCATTTTTTACATTTTATTGTGTCGCGATAAGGAAATTGATTTTCTTTATCCCAATTCCAAATACTGCCAAAAACTGCCAGAAGTTAAGATAAGAGTCCAATCCTGCCAAAATGGCAGGATCCTGCCACATATGGTTACACTGTACTACGTAGGTTAATTAATCCACTGAAGTAGGAAATATGATCTAATCTGAATACGCAACTTACCAGGTATCACGTATGTAGTATTTCTAATGTCTAACTAGTCTGTGCAATTCTATTCAAAAGACGTGGGCCACTCTCAGGTGAATGAAGTTAGCCCCTCAAAAAAATTTTTTTTTCCTATTTTATACTTATTTTCTATTAATTCGTTTGTTCATCATTTGTTCCTGATTGTTCACTGTTAATAATTGTTTGTTCTGCATTTTTTTATTTAAAAAAAATATTTAAAAATATACTTACAAGTTAGCCCCTCTAATGCATTTTTTTATATTTTTTCATCCTTAATGACTCGTAAATATTCATTTTCGATTGTCCTTATATAAAACACGTTTGTTCCTTTCGAAATCACTCGTTTTTTGTTTAATTTACTATTTTTATTAGTTGAATAAATGTATGCAAAATATGTGTACTGCGCATGCATCAACTATAATGCCTAAACTTTCTACGCGGTTTTAATCGTGAAAAAAAACCAAATATAAATCCTGAAGGAGCAATTAATTGGTATACAGTTTAATTAAAAAAATTAAAAAATAAATAAATGAAATAATGTGCGTTGGCGTTAAGTTAGACCAAATACATTTTTTCCATCCTCTTACCTATCGTATTAAAATGTTATTTTACTAATGTTAGGAATATAATTTCGACTGTGTAAAAAACTTATTATAATGTATACCTATATTATCTCTTGAAAGATAAATAATGAACATATTTACTTATTTGTTTATATTACCTATGTGAACTCCCTATCTTTTTTATACTTTCATAACGATAAGTAGGAGGATGGAAAAAATGTATTTGGTCTAACTTAACGCCAATGCACATTATTTCATTTATTTATTTTTTAATTTTTTTAANTTGTACCTAAGACGTCCCCAATATCCCCAAAAACAACAGATTTTTACATGTATTTTTATTTAATCAAATACATTAAAACCAATAACAACTGAGACTTACCTTTAATATATATGCTGGTTCAAACACTAAATAACGTTTATAAATCATAGTCGTCTTCTATTATTATCAAATAAATAAAAGAGAGCAAAGTTTCTAGCACTAAAATAATTACCACCACAGGAAGTTAATTTGAAACGCGATTTTTTATAAGTTAGCAGCTATCATCATGCATATTCAGAGTTGTTTTGTGAACTTTCAACATTCTAGTATTAAACTACAAAAAAATGGAAGATTTTGCAACGAATATAAAACTTATATTGAGCGTCGAAAGATTTTCCCGGTTTTTTCCCGATTCGCCTTTCAATCCCTAATCGCCCCATTTTACCGGTACACGAAGTTGAAGGACAGTAATGAAATTAAGTTTAAATAATAGACTATATATCTCTTTTATTATGAATAAATTAAAATCAATATTGTTCATGGGGATACAGAGATATTTAAAAAATAAGATAAGATTTCTAGGTTCTTAAATCATATGATTTGCTGTCAATACACTTAAACTTTAACATCATCATCACCTTAAATATTATATTACTATACTTTATCACACAGACCTAATTCAATGAACGCCAAGACTTAATTTTATGCTCAACAAAACGTAATAAGCAGGTATATCGCAACGAAACACTTAATAGTATCCACAATGCGCGCGAGTGCGAAAACGACTTATCAAATGTAAAATTTCAATAAACAATAAGCAAGCGTAGTTTTGTTTTTGCGATCAATAATTATTGACCAATGTAATGATTTATTCTACGAATTCAATAGTATAAAAATAGATTTTTGCTTAGAATATAATGTTTTGTATTAGTTTTAAAACCCATTAATTAAATATGTTAATATATTTTGCTAGTTTTTTGCAATATAATGTTTTTTTAAGAAGATTTAATGTAAATTGTTATGATATTTTATTGTTATTGTTTTTGAAGTGAAACTTCCTTAGGAAGAGCGAGAGTGAGAAAATAGCGAACCACTCGACCATGGAGAAAGGAAAAGACAAAACGAGTTAGGTCGTTATTTAGTTTAGTGACATCTATTGGATTTCATATAAACTACAATTGCAAGACCAACGGTGTGTACAATTTAATTACTAAAATATTTACAGAGAGCGGTATTTTAAATAAAAGTAATATTTTAAATTATCACTAAAGCGATATGAAGAAAATCACAATTCTACACACCGCAAAATAAGTATTGTTTCACGTTTTATTTTTTAATTTTTTCAGTATAAAAATCGAATTCTTTCAAGACTTTTTTACGGGAACGTGAGGAGTGAAGTTGTGTGATTTGTTTTATTTGGTCTATTAAGTGTTTCTTCAGGTTTAAATCTATCTTCTATCTTCTTATTCTTCTTTTATATATATAAAAATGAATTGCTATTCGTTAGTCTCGCTAAAACTCGAGAACGGCTGAACCGATTTGGCTAATTTTTGTCTTGAATTATTTGTGGAAGTCCAGAGAAGGTTTAAAAGGTAGATAAATACGAAAATTCCCGGAATTAAATAAAAATAACAATTTTGTTTGTTGTTGGTCCTTTGATGTGTCTCACCTGTCGGACGGATTCCTTTTCTTTGTTTTAAGTTTATTTTATACAAAAGTTTAGGTATTTTATTTATCGAATGAGGCACTACGAAGTCTGCCGGGTCAGTTAGTGTGTAATAAAGGTGATTTATTAACTTTTTAATATCTGTGAAAGTGCACAAATGAGGGAAAATAAAACAAAGGTGCTGGACGTAACTTATCGGGATCCTCCAAAAAGTCCACTGAAAAAATCTCAATAAATGAACACCATTTTACTGAGATTATATGTCATCCCATATTATCTCATCTCATTTCATTTAATTTCATCCCAGTTGATTATTGTCTCAAATTAAAATTCGAAATTCGATACTGGTGACTAACCCATAGTTTTAAATACCCCTGAGATCTACCCCTCACTATAGTCTTCATTTCATTTCATCTCATTTCATTTCACTCCATATTATCATTATTATAAAAATAAGAATATAAATTAAAATGAGACATGACCTAAAGGTCTTAGTTACCAGGGCATAAAATTACTTTTAAAAATAATAATTCTTGCGATCCACTTGTAATTATGGAGGGTAGAAGTAAAGAGCACCATTTCCGTGTATTCAAAAGTGACTGTTGGAAGGGAGCCAACTAAGGTGGCGCCATAGTAGCAACTGGAGAGATTTTAAAAACAGCGCTATATACACTAACAAACTTCACTTCAATCCAGAACACTTCACTCTTTTTTTTTCTACCTATGCTGATAGCCTTGAGAGGCTATTTGAGCTTGACCCTAAAGTGTAGGTGAACTCACTGGGCTCAAACTAGAAGTGTTGCTAACACCGCCCTAACAAGAGCAGTGAAGACTCGATGCGCGAGAACTCCCCAATTTAATGCGAAAAACCTGTGCGAGGAACTTGTTCCCAAAATATGCTATAAAAATTATAAAGGAGGTTAATAAAAGAAATAGAACATAAGAAAATTTTATAACATATAATATTTTAACATATTATTACTGTTGTAAAAAACCTAGTTTAAGTAAATAGGATTAAGCGTACATGTACTAGGTTTAAGGTAGAATAAGGAAATGTAAATAATTATAGAAATAAAGAGTCCCAACAGCCCTACTCCCCCTCCCCTCCCCGCTAATAAAATAGGAATGCAAAGTATGAACGGAATGAATGAAAGTACGAGAGGAATAAATGCGAGAACTGGTAAGATAAAGAGGCTCGGAATAAATGCGTGACCTAGTTTTTAAGCCCCTTATGGGCAGGAGTATAAACTATAATTAAAATTAAAACAAAACAAAAAATGTAAATATGAATCTCTGGCTTTGTTGTTTGCTAGAGGTACGATAAAAGAAACGAAAAAAGAAAAAAACTTCCTACACTAGCGCCATTTTGGTGAGTCTTTTTTTTTTCACAGAGTTTCTTACCTAATTTATTTTAATAACGAAACCGAAACATTCCGATTATATCCAAACCTCTTTCGGTCGTCGAAGAAGTACCACATTCAGCTTATACCTTTCCTCCAACTCCAGGCTCACAACAGGCTCCAACGATTTTCATAAAATTTAGTATACAGGAGATTTCGGGAGCGATAAATCGATCTAGCTACGACTTATTTTCAGAAAATGTTGTTTTATTCGTGTTTTCAATAATCAACTCTTCCCGACATCTATTGGCGAATAATAATACTATTTTTCTTAATTGAGGGCAACTAACCGCTTTAAAGACACAACAAGATGGCGTTATAAAAAAAAACGAGCAAAGCTCGGTCATCATCTAGTTATTAGTAGCAAACTGTAGAAAAGTTTATTGTTTAATACAAAACAGGACAAATATCAAAAAACATGATCTTCAATCTTAACTGGATCGTAACGAAGTCTCCCCGAATGTTGAAATGCGGCCGTATCTTCTTCATACATAATCTGTTTGTGTCTGCTGTGCACTACAATGATACAGTACACTGAGATACCTGGACAGAATGAGTAGTATTGAAAAAATGTTGTAAATGCTAATCAAAATAAAAATCTTAACTTAAGGGAAATTTCAAGCTTCCTCCACTATTTACACTTTCGATCAGTGCAGTGTCAAACAGAGACGGAAGCCTCCTCCTGGTCGTCTCGTCTTCATGAAGAGCATCATCATCATCATCATGATGCTTTCCTATTACCCTCTGCTGGGGTGTAGGGCTCGAATCAAATTTTTCCATTTGTATCGGTCTTGGGCAGTCTTTTCTAGCTCCTCCCACGTCATGCCCAAGACCCCTAGCTCCTGCTCCACCGAGCGACGCCAAGTTGTTCTGGGGCGGCCTCTCTTCCTTTTACCAGACACTTTCCAGGCAGCATTCATTTTTACTGGTGGTAGGACCTCTTGTAAGTCCGCGCGGGTAGGTACCACCGCCTTATCTATTTCTACCGTGAAGCAATAATGCGTTTCGGTCTGAAGGTTAGAGCAGCCGTTGTAACTGTACTGAGATCTTAGAACTTATATCTCAAGGTGGGTGGCACATTTACGTTGTAGATGTCAATGATGGGCTCCAGTGACCACTTAACACCAGGTGGGCTGTGAGCTCGCCCACGCAACTAAGCAATAAAAAAAAGCTTCGTGCTCATAGTTCAACGAACAGTTGAGATGAAATTAATTTTTTCGTCACATCTATACTTACACGCTTTAGCTAAATGGAGTACGATCACAATGATTTCAACTTCGAGTAGTTCACCCGTATCCTGAATCACGAGGCTGATTCCTGTTAGGCACAAGAGGAAGAGTACCGATGTGACAATCCCTGTCACTATCGTCCACGGCAAAGTCAGCGACGCCATTTTCTGGAACGATTCGAATTTCGGGAATGTTAAGCGTGGAATTAATTTGAGATTTTGGCGGGAACGCGAAGAATGTAGTCTTGTGAATTGTTTTATTTTCTTTATTTAGTGTTTCCTCAGATCTATATGTGTAATAACGGTCGTTTGTTAATTGTTAAGCGTCTGTGAAAGTGCACAAACGTGTGAAAATAAAACAAACTAACTGGACGTAGGTTCTCGGATTCTTCTCAGTAAGCTGAAGAAGTCTTAGTAAATAACCACAATTTTACTTAGACCATATTTCATCCGTAATATTTTCACTCGATATTTTATTTTTAATACAGAATAAATGTATGGAAGATAGGCTATATGGAGTGATACTTTCACCTTTCCTGTTGGAAAATGGAACCACATGAATTTGAAAATGGCTATTCGTATGTTAATAACTAGAAGAACATGGAATTTTAATTAATGGTATGTAGAATGTATGTTGTTTTTTTAACTCTGGAACTTTCAATCTACAAATCAAAACATAATTTCTGATTTATTTCAAACATATTTTCGCCTATTTACCTTGTAAGCAGCTACAATTAGAAGTATCGAAGATATAAGATTCGTTCCGCTGACAACAGCAGAGGCGATGTATAACACCAGTTTATGTACCGACACAGTTCCATTCTTTCCGATAGGAGCAAGAGTAACCAGGAGACAGTAGAGAGTGAGTTCCAAGATCGCCCATACCTGAAACAATAAATTTGAAATTAAACGTGGCCAGGTTGTTTGTGACGTCATTAATTCGGGACCTGGCGAGTCCTATGATGTTTTAATATTTCTCAATTTATCTGACGTCACGTGTTCGTTAGTGCTCAATAAAAAAGGTTTACGTTTAAACCGCTTTTGTCGTCTGATATAATTTTAGACTTGTACAAACAAAAAATCGCCTGTACTTCGTTTATAAGGAAATATCAGCTGACTTGTTTTTTTTTTTTTGAGAAGATGTGTCACTGGTCGTTCGGAGGCCTTTCCAGATACCCAGGACAGGTGGGCGAGCAAGGGCTCAGCCAGGAGCGATGAATTTGTTAACAGCTGCCCTGGCGCCTCCGGCGTAGACCTAGCAACTCAAGAGCAGCCCTTCGCGAATGTCAGCAACTGGCTTCTAAGCCATCTCAGTTCCTCCTGAAGAAGTCCAGTAGATTTCTAGACTCGAAAAGCGAACTCGGCAATGCGACCCAACGACTAGATTTTCGTAAAGCTTACTCATTCCGTATTTCCTGTTTTAATCTTAATCTCATTAATAGTGCATTATAAGTGCTTTGGCTTAAATGATTTAGATTCATAATCAGTCAGAGCAGACAATTACGTTAAATAAGTTCATACCCGATCCGGTGGACCGAATGGTAAACAGTCGACGTCGCCCTAAACACGTCATTACGGATCCTCCCGATTCATTAACGGTGCTTTTAGGTACCTCAAGCACCAGTCACCGTCTTCGTTGAGCCCGTCGCTTGCGACGAAGGGCTCGACGAGTAAATTAACCCACAGACACAGCCAACTGAGTTTGTCGTCGGATCTTGTCAGTAGGTCGCGTTTCCGATCCGGTGGTAGATTCTGCGAAGCACTGCTCTTGCTAGGGCCAGTGCTAGCGACACTTCGGTTGGAGCCTCGTGAGCTCACCTACCCGCCAAGGAGAAGCTGAAATAACCTCTCAAGACTATCAGTATAGGTAGAAAAACAAAAAAGTTGAATAACAAAGCGCCTGACCCAAAAATTTCTTAAAAATTTTCTTATTAATAGCAATTCACAGGCGCTTTCTATTAACACCAGGCAATAAAATTCAAGTTCATGACATTACGTCAGAAAGCAAATTTTTATACGAAACTAGGTTATCTCTGTTTCCAGGACAAGGTTAGATGAGTAAAGATTTCGAAAAATAGCACTCACTGCAGATAAATATCCTATTATTAATGTCCCGGTGTGTAATGTAGCGCAGAAGCAACATTTTTTCACCATGGGCACACCCATGCTTCAGTCACTAAAAAAAATAAAAAACGCGCGCAATCCAACTCATTACACTGAAACTATTTTTGTAAATTACGATTCATTGAAATGCGTATTTTACATAGTCCCAACTATTTGGAATGTCTGTTTAAATTATAACTGTAGAACAAATTTTAGACAGGCACACTGAAAATATTTTTGTTTTTTGCACTTTCCATTCAATGGTATACACAACAATAATAAATCTGACGTTACGTTCGCGATGCTTCAAGGGTACTTTATCACTAATAAATACGGTCGAGATAATAATTCTGTACGCCAATGTTTTAGTTTATGATAAAAGATTATTTAGCTACAGCACAATCAGCAGTTTTATGAACTTCGCACCGAATACACCTGCTTTTTGGTATACGCTGATAAAATAGTGAATGTGAATTGCGTATATTTACAAATTTATCATTCTTAATGTGATTTTTTTGTTTTGAATTTGATATGGTCGGAATAATTGAAAAAAAATTAAATCTTTAGCAAATTCTAGCTAAATGGACCAAGCCTATTCAGCCGTAGGGCATTAAAGGACACTTTGAATTTTCCACTAAAATATTTTTCTATGATTCGATAATTCTGTAACTAGGTAAAATTACTGTATAATTATTTAATCTACACTTAGCTGGACTGAATTGAAATACAAAGACAACGAGTAATCAAAATTATATTATCATTTGTTAAAATGAAAATACGTAGAAATTTGTAAATACCATAAAATGACAAATGTTCATTGATTTCGAAACAATACAAAATGCACCTTGGCGTGGTGATTAAAATTTAATTTTCCATTATCGCTACACGTAAACGACAAAAGCAATAAAAATAATAATGTTCCTGATACATATTTTAAAGAAGTCTATTTATTTGCTGGTTTACGATACGCCAATTTATGAAAAACACTTATCTGTATAAATAGCTTCCTATTACTCAATTTACTGAGCTATCGGCCATTACGGGGAATCTGATAAAAAGCTGAATCGCGCTAACCATAATATTAATATCACGTATGCGTATGTACAAGTTCCGGTAATTTTCTGATCGTCCTCTACCGGATGCTATCATTCGCTGGGTAGAAGACCCTCTGTTGCAGCAATCGCACGTCATTACGGTTCCACCTGATCCATTAACGGATCAGGCACCACAAACATCGGTCACCGTCCTCGTCGAACCCGTCGTTGGCAACTAAGGACTCGACGAGCGAATTAACCCATAGACACAGCCCACTGAGTTTCTCGCCGGATCTTCTTAGTGGGTCGCGTTTCCAATCCGGTGATAGATTCTGCGAAGCACTGCTCTTGCTAGGGCCAGTGTTAGCAACACTCCGGTTTGAGCCCCGTGAGCTCACCTACACGTGAGGGCGAAGCTGATATAGCCTCTCAAGGCTATCAGCATATGTAGGAATAAAAAAAGCAGAAAATGTTTACAATACGAACCACTCTAAACACTGTCTTTAAAGCCTTCAAAACCGCAATAGTTCAGAGGAAGTGAAAATACATCATGTTTGAACAAATTTAATAAAGTAACCACAGATCTACACCCGACACCATTGTGATATCAACATAAGGATGTATTATCTGGAAAAAAAAAGTCCCATCCATCAAAATAGTCCATTAATCGCTTATGAAGAAAAATTGGCGGCATGATTACTTTTTGGTATGCGGTTTACAGGTAAAACCACAATGACTGGATTGCCACGGAAATTGCAACAATAATTTAAATTTCTGTGTGAAATAATGAGTACCTATTTACTTGTGAGAATCTTAAGCCTTCCAACACTGAATATAAATTTCTTACTCTTTGGCGAAAAAGGGAAGAGGGTTTAGGGAATTGTTTTATTCTGTTAATTTAATCATTCTTCAAATCTAATAATGGTGGCCTATTAACCGTTTAGCATCTGTTGAAGTGCCCAAGTGTGGGAAAATTAGACGAAGCCGTTGGATTTGGCCTCCAGAGTTCTTCCAAAAAAGTCCACTGAACTCTTTGTAAATAACCACCACTTTATTTACCATCAAATCTCTTTTATTTTAATTACATCCTAATTGATTACAGCCTCAAATAAAACAACTTCACCTCATTTCGCTCCATATCACTTTTATATAAGTATAATAACAGAATATGTTATTAAGTATCTTAGTTTAATGGTTAAATAGTTTTAAACACTCGACACTGGCAACAATGACATCACAAGTAGCCATACTTAAATAAAGAAGAGGGAATATTTTGTTTCTTCGTGTTTCTTTGGATTTCTTCCATGCATATCCACGCTTAGCCGGTTCTGACCTCACCCATAAACTTGTTCAAATTGTAAAAACATTAGAGATCAAAACTGTAATGTAATAGCACAGTCGGATATAATATTATATAATGATAATAATATTTTTAACTATCTCTGCATCTCGCAATAACCGATGAAAACATCTAATATTCATTAGAACTATAGAAAAAGACTTCTGTTCACCAAAAATCAAACATCATATTAGGATGATCTAAGCGTTGCTCACTCATAAAACACGAAAAACAATCCCAGTAAGTACCGTACCCGGTAATTTCTTATCGTGTAATCGGCGCAGATAAGTTTTTCTTTTTCTTTAATAAGGCTAAGAATCTAATCAGTAGGTAATTGTGAACACTGTAGTGAACACAGTCCGTGAAATGTGTCTCTCTTTAAACAATTTCTGCTGTTGCATCAGCCTGAGTACCGGAGCTAAAATAGTTAGCGTTATAAGCACAGTAAGTAAATATTCAATAACATTATTAGATACAAGACGCGTTATATACGTTATATCTAAGAGGGGAGTGAGCAAAGAAATGGTATATGATAGAGGAGTATGGAAGGAAAAGACATGTTGCGCCGACCCCAGGTGACTGGGAGAAAGGCAGGAGAATAATGATAATTATTAGACGCAAGGTCAAGGAAATAATTAGGTCACCGATCAAAACTACTTCAAACTCTATTAACATCCAGGGCGTGTTATGCCAAAACAAGATGATAATGTGGGCAAAAATACTACTATAGGTATGAAAGTAGACAGGGGCATGAAAAGGGGAAGTCCTAAAAGACTTGTATAGTCTGTGTGAAAGATGATATGCAAAAGAAGGGTGTGAGTGCAGAGATGATTTATGAGAGATCTGAATGGAAGAAGAGGATATACTACGTCGACCGTACATAATGTGAGATTGTAAGAATTGTAAGAGATGTAAGAAGTAGATTCCTATGCTTTGTTACACGTTAGAAATCACTGGTTTTACTAAACTACCTGTTATTGTTAGGAGACTACAATATCTATAACGTTGTAAAAACATGTAATAATGTGTTGTAAGACATATATACATTCTGTAATACGACATTTCAACATCATTTAATTGATAAAAATCTTATGATAATTAATGTTTTTGTTTTTTGTTTGAAAATCGTGAATTAAGAAATTTGAAGTAGAAGTAAAAGTACCAAATAAATTGACCACAACTTTTGTCTGTTAACAGTCCAATGACAATGGTATTGATAATGACAAAACTGATAGTTGATAGGCAAGACCGGATACGCTTACTCGTTTGTAACGTAATACAAGTATAACTAATCCACATTTTATCTAGTAATTTATTTATTGTTTTTCAATTGCTGCGATGATTGCAGTCAATGAAATTACAATTGGCGATATTTTTAAGCTAATATAAAATACAATATTTCTACGTATTTGTATAGTATTAGTTTTTAAATTGAACAATGCTCTGGCGGGAAATAGAGATAGAGAAAGAAAGATTCGTGACCTGTGAATAAAAATGAGATTAAAAAAGTGATTAAAATCGATCACATCTCTTGGTTCCTATTTGTAGCTCTCATGAGCTAAACTCATTTGCGCAAGTAAATAGGCAAAAATTACCCACAAAAAATTTGAAACTGTATATCACGGTCCTTTTATCGTTATAGAAGATTTGGATCCTAATGTAAAAAAATCATATACGAAGAAGTTATACATAAGAATAGAACAAAACTGAATTTAAGTTACAAAATAATAATAATAACAAACAAATATGATTTTTTTTCTATTTTGGTGGGGCGTGTGGTGTAATAAGATTAAAGGAGTGAGTAATAAATAAGTATTTGTATAGTAAAGACGTGTTTCATATTCGCTGTGGCGTCGATCCTTCATAGGTGATAGGATGATTTGTGAACCCGAACCAACATGCCTATTTAAGCCTCGAAGCAATAATTTATCCTTGTTTGGAGAGTGGGGCAGCCGTTGCACTATAGGACTGATACTTAAAACTAATGTTTCAAACTGGGCGCATTTAAGTTGTTGATGTTTTATGAGCACAGAAACTCATTTTACATCATTTGGACCGTCCAGCAAGTTCGCCGGTCTAAATGATAATTTAAAAAAAAAGAATTCACATAGATTTTTCACTGGTGGTAGGACCTCTTGGGAATCCGCACGGGTAGGTATCACCACCCCGCCTATTTCCGCCGTGAAGCAGTAATGCGTTTCGGTTCGAAGGGTGGGGTAGCCGTTGTAACTATACTGAGACCTTAAAACTTATATCTCGAGGTGGGTGGCGCATTTACGTTGTAGATGTCTATGGGCTCCAGTAACAACTTAACACCAGGTGGGCTGTGAGCTTGTCCATCCATCTAAGCAATAAAAAAAAATTACACATTTTGTATTTGTAAAACAGAAATGCTAACAAACAAAAAAAAATGATAAAAAAGCAAAATCTCTTAAAACTAAAATCGGTTTCATATATTATTTTTTTATTTCCTTAGTACTTTTTGCCTATCACATCAATCTGTTTTATATAAAGCTCATGTATCTAATATTCTTGTATTTTTCTATCTCTTTCTTATTTATTAGTTAAAGAAAATATGTACACAAAATTTCAATTTTAAATTTTCATCGACATTCGATATATGGCTTATAAAAGATAATTAATCCTCACAGGCGGCTTCGGCATCAATATTGGTCCTATACGGAACCCCGGCTGTGCTGCAAATGTTCAGTCTACCACCAGCTCGAGCCATTTTCTACGGAGCCACAGCTGTGGCGGCGCTCTTTAAGACCATATTTGGATGTATGCTCATCCACGGAACATTTAGGGTAAGTTTAGATTCAGTTTGGAGTTTAGAAATCAAATGCATAATTTTATTTATTCTTCGATCCCTTCAGAATTCTTTAAGCAGTGTCAGGTTAACATCAGGAGAAGAGTACTAAAACCAATTGTCACGGTATTTTGATCAGAAGCTCCAAAATTTCTATAGCAATGGGATCATGTCCCTACCTACAAGATGGCTAAAGTTATCGAACAAAACGGTACCTACATACTTTAGTTAAATGTAAATAAACCTACGAATAAATAATAAGTATTTATTCCGTCCTTACGTCCTTACGGATCCATCAGATCCAATAACCTTTGCATTAGACGCCTTCAACTCTAACACTAGGAGCAGGCTTAGGGACCTCGGTAACCGTACTTGTCGAACTCGACAAAGAGTTCGCCGTGCAACCTAACCCATGAATCAGATCGCTGAGAAAAAAAAAGTTCAAAACATAAAAATCACTACCATCAGCGCCACCTATCCGAAACTAACGTAACCAGGTTCGTCGGAGTCATGGTCATGGTCATGTCGCCCTATATATGTGTACAAAGCTTCATATCAATCGGCCGGTAATCGTTCTCGTCGAACCCATCGCTTACGACGAAGGGCTCGACGAGTAAATTAACCCACAGACACAGCCCACTGAGTTTCTCGCCGGATCTTCTCATTGGGTCGCTTTTCCGATCCGGTAGTAGATTCTGCCAAGCACGGCTCTTGCTAGGGTTCGTGATAGCAACGTCATCAGGTTTGAGCCCCGTGAGCTCACCTACTAGTTAACGTTACAATGATATAGCCTCTCAAGGCTCTCAGCTTAGGTAGGAAAAAAAAATATCAATCGGGCTGATGGTTCTCGAGCTTTAGGTGAACATACATACCAACAAACATTATTTTTTATAAATACAGATTCATACAATTGAGTTCATCAGGAACACTGGGATTACTGCAAATGTAAATTGAATTATTATCTGGGCGTAGATTAGCAGTTTCTTATAAGGTAATTGATGGCCGATTTCATTGACAGAGGGCGTGGTTTGATTTGAGTAAATCTTTGGGAAGCACTTAAAGGTATATTTTCAAAAAATAATACAATTTATTTACTGATGCAGGTGTGATTTTAAAGCTGGTAAGGCATACACGATGCTGGAATGCATCGTCTAGTTATAATACATCAGTCCGCATACATATGTATGTATGTTGCATTCGTGAAGCAGCTGCCCTTGAGCTGTTAGGTCTCCTTCGGAGGCACTCGGGCAGCTGTTAGCAACTCCCACCCCTCCTAAGCTAAGCTAAGCTAAGTCTTGGTGAAACTGGAAAGGCCTCCGGGCCTCCAGTGCTCTTTAGTTCACGAAAAAAAAAAAAAAACATACGTCCGCTGTCGGATATATGTATGTAAGTTAATTCCATGCTTTATTTCTTTTATTTTACTATTATAAATTTGAAAGTGGCTTCGAATGTCCTTCCTTCACGCCGAAAAGAAGAAGCGATTGACTTATTTAAGTGATAATTGTAAGTCGGGAGAGTGACATAGGCTATCTTTTATTCGGAAAGAACACCTCAATTCCACTGGAAACTACAATAACGCATTTTCGTGACAACGCGGGAGTACCTGCGGTTAACAACTAGAACATATATATAGTACATTAGTCCTGGAGCAAGATTATTGTAATATTAAGATACTATTTTGACTCGAACCAAAGCAAGCAGTAAACTTTTTATTTAGTTACTAGCTGACCCAGCAGACTTCGTAATGCCTCAATCGCTAAATAAATAACCTAATCTTTTGTATAAAATAAACTTAAAACAAACAAAAGAATCCGTCCGAGGGGGGGGGGGACATCAAAGGAAAAACAAAATTGTTATTTTTATTTAATTCCGAGATTTTTCATATTTATCCACCTTTTACACCTTCTCTGGACTTCCACAAATAATTCAAAACCAAAATTAGCCAAATCGGTCCAGCCGTTCTCGAGTTTTAGTGAGATTAACGAAAAGCAATTCATTTTTATATACATAGATTGCTTTAACTGTTGAACAAGCTCACGGCCCGCTTGGTTTTAAGTGGATGCCGGAATTCAAATTGTAGCATGTCCAAGCATATCATTAGTAAAGTATATAGTAGTATATAGTAAGTACAGCTCTTCAAAGTATAAAATGTATTATTTACAGAAAAAGCCAAGCTTCACGTGGCCTTGGTTAATTGTTTCGTGGGCGTTCTGCGTGGTCCTGACCGTCCTGTCAGTAGCCGGAGTCGTCTTCATTTCGTACAACAAGAACTTGGAGAACAACGCTGAAATCAGCTCTGTTATCTACGTATACTTGCTTTATACCAGTAAGTTTTATACCGACAAGTTTATTATTAGTTGACAACTCTTGATTGGCTCAGAATCTGCTATGAAGCAGTTACAAGTTTCAGTTTGAAGAGTTGAAATAATAACTAGATGATGACCGAGCGTTGCTCGATTTTTTTTTTGATAACGCCATCTGGTTGTGTCTTTAAAGCGGTTAGTTGCTCTCAATTACGAAAAATAGTATTATTATTCGCCAATAGATGTCGGGAAGAATTGATTATTGAAAACAGGAATAAAACAATATTTTCTGTAAATAAATCGCAGCTAGATCGATTTATCGCCCCCGAAATCCCCTGTATACTAAATTTTATGAAAATCGTTGGAGCCGTTTCCGAGATTCAGATTATATATAATAATATATTAATATACAAGAATTGCTCGTTTAAAGGTATAAGATACCGCAAATCCCAAAACGTTTCCCAAAATTTCAAAATGCCTACAATATTCTAGAACATTTTGGATAAAACTAGAATATTCAAGAAATGTCCTATATACGTCTGCCTGTGGCAACTGGAATACAGAAGAAATGTTCTAGAAAATTCAAGAGATGTTCCAGTTGTTTCGATATCCGTTTTTGCTATTTGACGACAGATGGCGTTACTCGTCCAGCACAACATGAATAAGGGAGTGCTTACATGTGTTTGAAAAAGAAAACTAAATATTTCACTGATTTATTTCCAGTTGTCCTGTTCTACTTCATATCGATCGTGAACAGCAGGAGACAAGAGATGATAGTAGATGAATTCACGTACTCGTCGAGGAGGATACGCAAGATGAACAGCTACTATTACTCATGAGAGAGAGACTGTCTCAACAGGAGAATGATCTCAAATATCGAATTCCGTGTAATATTTATTACATGGTTGTGTATTTATTTGAATAAACATTGAATAGTAATTTCTTTTTAGAATTTTGTAACGTTTTTTTTAATTATCAATTCCACTATTTATAGGGTCCGTGTAGACTGTAGTTTGTCAATTATACAGTCGAGTGATATTTCTAGGGTTGACAAAATTAAAAATAATAATCACCTATACTTACTTATGATAAGTTTGTTTTTATTGTACCTATAGAAGAGTGATCAGGCTCACGGCCCATTGGATGTTACGATGACGCTGTAGCCCATAGACATCACGACATAACTACTGCCACCCATCTTGAGACATGAGGTTGAAATGTTAGTTTTATACGACAACGGCTGCCCCACAATTTAAATCAAAACTCATGACTGCTTCACGGTAGAACTAGGTAGGGTTGTAGTACCAACCGGTTAGGGCTCAAGAGACGCCATACTTAGATGTCATTCCCTCATCGTGGGCGTGATTTGCGAATTTTATGTTAAGTAAGTATTTCATATAGAAAAACTCATAATTGTGGGATTCGAACACTGGCCCAGTCGCATCACTCGATACGAAAGCACCGGGCGCCTTATCCTTTAGGCCACGACGACTTCTAACTGTATTATCAACTGTATTGGGCTACAGCATGTCTTATCTATATATTTAAAAACAATATTAATCTATTCTCAATTTGACCACAGACTTTAACAATAAACAAAAGAGTATATATGCGTGTGTCTGTCAAATACATCGTAGTGTGTGTAATGTTTTTTTTATTGATTTAATTTACTTTTTTTGCATAATTTGAAAAAATATTAGCTTTCTGTACTTCTTCTCTAAATTCTCTATAAGTGTGGGAAATTTCCTCCTCCTCCTCCGTCCGCGCAATTTTCGTAAAAAGGTGTACAAAGTTTTTGCTTCACGTATTACTATTAGGTATTTGTTTATACTGTAGGCTTGTCGAAATCTGTGATTAAAGAAGTATAATAAATAGTCTTTGACAAACGAACCAAAATAATTTTTAAGCTTATAATTTTAATTAATCATAGTCGAATTTCGACTACTGGGGGGCCACTAGTCATGAATAAAGCGCTTAAAAGTTTATCACAAAGGTGTTTTCCAGTTAATAAATTTACCAACCAATCTAAATCGGTTCGCTGAATCTTTAGGTAGTATTGTGTTTATACTTCACGTAACTTATTACGTTTTAAAACACGGTTACGTTTCGATGGTAACGATTAACGCTGTTCTCGTGGCCCCGCGCGCGCGGACTACAATGCGCTAGCAGCATGCGGAAAATTGTACGTATGTTACGTGTTTGACACAAGCGGAGTAACTTAGAAATTAATTTATTTCAACCCACCTTTTTTTTGGAACGAAGTTCCTTATGGGACGATGCGGAGTGGTACCCTAACCGGGAAAAAACGTCCGTAACGTAAGATTTTTATTAGTAATGCGTGTGCATTACTAAGAAAAAACGAATAAAAATCTAAGTGTACGACTTAACTTTGTACAACGTACAAAAAATAACACACTTTTTTAATATTCATTGACCACGATCTCAGAGCGCAATACACTAACTCTTATGCAAACAACGGTGAATGAAGTGTACCACAATAAGTTCGCACGTTACCGAATTACCGTGGGTTGTTGCGAAACCTCCAGTTTTATTTTCTTTATACCTCGAATAGAACCACACATCTTTTTTATTGCTTAGATGGTTAGACGATCTCACAGCCCACCTGGTGTTAAGTGGTTACTAGAGCCCGTAGACATCTACAACGTAAATACGCCACCCACCTTGAGATATAAGTTCTAAGGTCTCAGTATAGTTACAGCGGCTGCCCCACCCTTCAAACAGAAACGCATTACTGCTTCACAGCAGAAATAGGCAGGGTCGTGGCACCTATCTGTGCGGATCCACAAGAGGTCCTACCACCAGTAACCTTCAAACGTAAGGTCAACATTTTAGTTTTTTTATATAACAGCTACAAAATCCTTAAACTCTATACACGACTCCTCCATGGCAGAAATATGCAGCATGCCGTCTCAAAATGTGATTTAACACAAGTAAGTACTTGTCTTAAGTCGAATTTTGTCAATTCGAAACAAATTAATATAGTTTTATCTATTTCTACTATATAATTATAAGTCTTAAAAAGTTTTCATAAATCCCACTTAACATGAAATAATTAGCATTCAAATTTATCGATGTACCCAAACAGGTATAAAGAGCGAATCTGTTGGATTCTCTGGGTTTAGGGAGAAACTTTATTGCTCTCTGCGTTCTGTACTTTATGTTTTGTGACGAGTGCAATAAGCAAATGGCTTAGTCCTACTTTGAATCCAACTATAACCGCTGCGCTCATGATATTTACTCGCCATTATCTTGTCTGTCTTCGAAAACATTTTTATTGCTTTAGTGGACGAACTCGCGGCCTACTTGCCTGCTAAGTAGTTACAGGAGCCCATACAGAGCAACAAGGTATATAAATACGGTTACCTCCCTTAAAACATGAGTTGTAAATTTCAGTTAGAAATATAAGATTAAGAAAATCATTAAAAATTTGAGGAAATTGTGTCTTATTTTTTCGTCTACGCATTATTCTGATTATTTGATAATGGAAGCGTTTTGTACAGAAATAATAATTTCGGAAAAAAATAATGTAAATAAAGTTAAAAATTTAAAACTAAAATCAAACTTTAAAAAAACTATAGCGTCGACTTATACGCTTTTCATCTGAGCAGTAACTAGTTTTCACCAAGTCAAAACAATGGTAGAACATTAAAGAAATACCCACACGACTTCGAAGATATTATAAATATGAGTTTTGACGTGAAATTGTTAGGTTTAACGCGGGACAATGTGGGCAAACACTACAGTATGGTGAGCAATATTTTTCAATCAAATTATCATATCTGCCCAAATTCGAGATCTTCGGATTTACGTAAATTTGTATTTTATTATACAGTACATACGTAATTGTATAATAGAATACAAATTACGTAATATCGAATATATTCAACACACGAATAAAATGCTGGGAGCATGAAACAATAATTATTGTAAACATTAATATAAACATGTAGTAAATAAAATTTGGTATTCTTTTATTTATTTTAGCTAAATTTATATTCCTACTCTCACGTCAATCTTTATCTTGAACATGCAGTAAATAAAATTTGATATTCTTTTATTTATTTTAGCTAAATTTATATTCCTACTCTCACGTCAATCTTTATCTTGAACATGCAGTAAATAAAATTTGATATTCTTTTATTTATTTTAGCTAAATTTATATTCCTACTCTCACGTCAATCTTTATCTTGAACATGCAGTAAATAAAATTTGATATTCTTTTATTTATTTTAGCTAAATTTATATTCCTACTCTCACGTCAATCTTTATCTTGAACATGCAGTAAATAAAATTTGATATTCTTTTATTTATTTTAGCTAAATTTATATTCCTACTCTCACGTCAACTTTTATCTTCAGGACTAACAATAGAACAGCTTCAGAGTGTATAGATTAATACTATTCAACTAAATGATGGTGAGAAAAAAAAGAGTGTTATAATAATTCAGAATTTTATAGACACTTTTAAATCCTTATAATTTTGCCTACGATACGGGTTGCAGTTTCACTGTCGAGAATCGACTAGACACTTAGGGTTTGCACTTTGTCAAATTAGCCAGTTCAAATAATAATATGATGGCTTGGATTGGTTTTTATAGCCTTGTCTCGACTTAAGGTATTAAAGTGGTAATAGATGTAGTGAGAAATTATTTTTCCTCGGAAAAACTCGGACCTTTATCGGAATACGATGACACCCGAACTGTCAATGAATGATCGTATTAAATGATTGATATTTTCATATCCATTAATATATGTAGAACTTTATTGTTTAGTATCAAATGTCAAAATGAATAATGTCATTGTATAATATAGAGATGTTACCATCATAACAATTATTAATTGAGTTGTTGCTATTTTTGAATTTGCTATTTTCCGATATGAAGTACAGGTAAATGTTAAATATAATTCATTGAACTGGATTTTTCAATGTTTTCGAGGTTTCGGCATGGCTATACAACCTTTTTATAAGTAATCTCAAAATATGATTAAAACTATAGCGAATATTTGAATTACGTATTACCACTCTATATATATATATATTGGTCTGCTCATGCGATTTACCCCTACGTCTCTAAAATGGGTACTGAAGCTTTTTGAGAGAGCATGATAAATACGAACTTTTCCGAAAAATTACGAAGGAAAATCTTTTCTCACTATGTCTATAGTGGCGTTCAGGATGCGTCACATAAAAATATAATTTTATCGACGTTTTTTTATTGATGTGACTAAAAATAACGAACACACAGAAATTTGCACAAACTCATCTAATGTTGTAGCTTAAATACAAACGCTGTCTCGTAATTCAAAAAGTGTTTATGTAAGCTATTTTTAATTATATATTTTAATTATAGTTACATTTGCTATCCAAATATAGCAACTTATTCTAAAATTATGCGCTGTATATTCTTTTAGTTTTCCTCATTCAACATGAACAGCTCGTATTTGCTTACAACATTCGTATATCTGTAAGATAACTATCACTTTCTGATGAATATTTCATAGTTTTGAATAAGAGTCGACGCGTAAGATAATGTTTATGACCCTGACAGCTGATATAATGTAGCTGTTTAATGCCAAGCGAACAAATTGCTTTCGAATCACATTTGGCTTTTCTGTGTTTTTGGAACGAAGTTCCTTATGGGACGATGCGGAGGGGTACCCTAACCGGAAAAACGTCCGTAACGTAAGATTTTTATTATTAATGCACACAGTGTACGACTTAACTTTGTAATAACGTACAAAAAATAACATACTTTTTGATCATTCATTGACGACGATCTCAGAGGGTTCGTTTGCGCAATACACTAACTCTTATGCAAATAACCGTGAATGAAGTGTACCACAATAAGTTTGCGCGTTACCGAATGACCGTGGGTTGTTGCGAAATCTCCAGTTTTAATTTTTTTATACCTCGTACAGAACTTAAAATTAATATTTTTATACTACCACCCTGTCCATCTATGCCGCAAAGCAATATTGCATTCTGTTCTCAGGGATACGACAGCCGTGACACGTACAATTAAGACTTAAACCTAATATCTCAAGGTGAGCGACGGCATTCATTGAACGATGTCTGTGAGCTCCGGTAATTACTTAATACCGGTTAGCTCGTAAGCTGACTCAACTGAGTAATGATAAAAATAATAATGTATAAAAAAATAAAAAATAGTTCCATAAATATCTTAAACTAGGCTGACCTGACAGACTTCGTAGTGCCTCAATTGAAAAATAAAAGACCTAAACTTTTGTATAAAATAAACTTAAAACAAACAAAAGGAATCCGCCGACGGGGAACACATCAAAGGAACAACAAAATTGTTATTTTTATTTTATTCCGAGCATATATTTAAACTTATCTACCTTTTAAACCTTCTCTAGACTTCCACAAATAATTCAAGACCAAAATTAGCCAAACCGGTCCAGCCGTTATCGAGTTTTAGCGAGACTAACGAACAGCAATTCATTTTTATATATATAGATAGATCGAATTACCGCAAACAGTGCGACGTGGCCCGTTAGTTTAGAAAACAAGCAGTCGGCTTCCGAACCGGTTACATACAGTCTGAGTCATGTTGCATAACCGAAGAACGATTTACTTTCACCGTCCGACGGTCGGTAAGTCACTGACCGGACGGTACTATCCCTTACAAAAAGGGGGTTACCACTATCAAGTATCTACGTTGCCTGATACTTTGTTCCTCGATTGGAGAGCATCTATTCATTCCGGTCGAACGGCTAATTTAGTTAGATTATAAAATAAAAGCTCCTTATTCGCGCTTCCTTCATTCGCGTTTTAACTATTCGCAGATTAGAAAAATGCGACCCAATTCCTATATTCGCGGATCTAATCGGTACGTCGATACATACACATTGATAAAAACGATTCCAATATGTAGGCACAAAAAAGAATATCCTTTGTAAGCGCGTCGTCAAATGAAGTAACTAAAATATTAAAATAGACCTTATTACAATTATGCCTAAAGTTATAATCCAGTATATAGTAAATTACCATTCCATAACCATAGTTTCTGTATTTACCGTATATATACATATATTTACGGAACATATACAATTCGAATAAAGAGTTTTTAGTCTAATTGAGATTAGACTCGAGCCTATTTAAACTTTTAAGTGCCTCTATTTCACAGGTATTACTATGGATCCTGTTACTCGCAATAGCCGTCCAAACACAAAAAGTCGTGGAAACCAATGAAGATCACGATCTTTACTTTCAAAACGTAACAACTCTGTATCCGGTCATAAATAAAACTGAACTTTATACTAAAAGCAACGAAAGCGCTCTTCAATTAAACAGATCGAACAAACTAGGTGCAGTGTCGTGGAAAATAGACGCTTCTTACGCCGAATCGAATTTGAATGATAAAGATAACACAACTGACTGGACAAACTCAAGTGATATCAAAAATAACCAAATTAATTTGAAAGATATTAAATATCATATTGCACAAAACAATAATGCAGATTCAAAAGAAGAAACATTTCCAAAACATTCTATTGGTAATCCACTAAATTTAATAAATGCTAAAGATAATATGATGAAGGAAGTGATAAAGGAAGAAAGTAATGAAAAGTTTTTTAAAGATGTTAAGGGAAGTGTCAAAGAGTTCAGGCCGAGTCAACCTCTGGGTACCTTTTTTGATGATGATGAATTTGTGACAGCCCCATATAATGGTTACAGCTCCATTGGAAATAAACCTGATCCAGTATTCGTAAGGTATTTTTTGTTATTTGTACTCAAATTAATTTATTTCAGTGATACATATGAGATTTATGTTTAAAAAATGGTCCAAAGTCTAAAATTAACTATTTAAGTTTTAAAAATTCTCTTAATAGACTGAAGTCTGACTTCCCATACAGTAACTGATCACAATTTAAAGCTGAAGATATGAGGAGCTATGGGAATTGAGTAAAGCATTGGATTTGTATGTTATTATGACATTTAATAACCCCACATTTGTGGCCTCAATCTGTTAATCTAATAAAGTACAATGATAACATCCAAATGCTGCATTGCAAAAATTTTTACGCAAAAAAACCCATAAAAAAGTTTAGCGACACAAAAATACACGAACACTAGTAACAATTTTACTTGTTGCTAGCTTTGATTAAAGCTCGCAGTAATACTACAATTAATATTTGTTATCTTTATGATTTTAATTTTAAATAAATTCAAATATCTATCTAAATTCAATCTTTCAGCCCACAGACGTCCACTGCTGGACATAGACTTCCCCCAATTCTCGGTACAAGGATCAGTCCTGCACTGCTTGGGTCCAGCAAATCTCAATTATTCAAATACATTTAACTCAAAATATCATAACATATTTGTGTAAAATTTCAGTTCTCCGCCGGACTCTACACGGCACATTGTAAAACATTCAGAAAGTCCAGAATACCAAGCTTTTCCTTACAAATTCGAAAGTCCAATATACGAAACAACGAAAGACACATGGCACCCTGATAACTTTGAGGCTAAACCAACAGCTGTTATACCATTTAAGGTTCCAGCTGGTGGATTGTATAAATTGACTGATCCTTTCCAAGATCCAGTGATCAGCAACGAAGACTTCGGATTAACAGTTAATGGAGATCATAAAGAAGAATACCACGTGATTAAAAGGTGACTGAGGGCTTATTTTAATTGCAAAGTTAATATTTCTACTCGATAACTGCGAAGAGACAAAGCAAATGTATGTCCCAAATTTAATAACGCCGTCCGATTTCTGTCACAAATACTCTAGAAGTCCGTTATTATGAAAAACAGATCCGTTAAGACAGGACAGGAGTTAGGTAGGAGTTAAATCAGGACCGTTTAGATCATTTGGGCTTTTAAAATTATATTTCAAACTGCTGCATTTCTATAAAGGTAATTTCCAATACCCATCATCGTCATCATTATCATCAGTCTGTATCTCTCGACTACTGGATGTAGGCCTCTCCCATAGTCCGCCACAATGAATAATAATAGGTACCCGATTAACGGTAATTTGTCTGAACGAATTTCAGAGCTAATCCCTGGAAAAGTCTGCTTCATTTGGTCAAAGCGTTCATCCCAGTTGGTCTGATCATCGCAGCACTCACCCCTAACGTCATCACCATAGAAAATTCAGGACCAAACAATCAGTAAGTTTCCTAAGAAATTTTGGAACGAAATTCCATTTGTGGCGTCTATAGAGAGGTCATTAAGTATAGGGAGCAATCATTAATGGCGTTTCATGTTTATTTTTCATACTTCAAACAATTATTATAAAACTTAGTTATATTCTAAGGACTAATTAGACTAGATTAGAAGTAGACTAACTAAGTTTTATTTCAGCGTAATCTATATATTAATATGTTAAGTAAAAAGTCTGTACACCTTTTTACGAAAATTGCGCGGACGGAGGAGTATGAAATTTGCCACACTTAAGAGAATATAGAGGAGGAGTGCACAATGTTAATATTTTTTTAATTATGCATAAACAACACTTTAAATCAATAAAAAACATTACACACACTACCATCTATTTGACACAGCACGCATTTAAACTTATTTTATACTTTGTTTATTGTCAAACTTTTATTATTTAAAGTCTGTGGTCAAATTGAGAATAGATTAATATGTATTGTTTGTCCTTAATATTATTTGTCTACAGTGTATGTAGTCTTGGCGAAATCTGTGAATAATTGAAAATAGAACCATAGTAATGTTCAAATTTATAATTTAAATTAATTATAGTCGAATTTCGACTACTGCAGGACCACTAGTAAAATTTAAAATATATTTTTTTTTATAATTTTTTATTTTTTTTATTTCGAATATGTCAATCAAACTGGCAGGTGTATAATTAAATGCGATTTGAAATGCATGTCGGTCAGTAGTATGTTTACGGTTCAAATGTAGGTCGGTGAGTGGGTGAAAAAATAATTCCAAATCCCGATGCACTTTAGATGTTTGTCACACAGCGGTAATTTCTAACTTCAAAGACGTGAATTTGTAAAATAGAAATATAATTACATATATTTTGCCGCCAGAATGGCCAGTTGTTATGTTGTTAGATTTTTTTTAGTAAATAAATTCTATAATCTAGTGGAGGGTGCCTTGTGAGTCCGCACGGATTACCCTCACCTTGATTATTTCTGCTGTGAAGCCGTAAGTAATGCGTTTCGATTTGAAGGATGGGCCAGCCGTTGTACTGTAAAAACTGTGACTTAGAACTTTTAACTCATTATTAGTACGTAGTAATAGTAATAATAATTACGTAGTAATAATAATAATTTTGTTACGTAGTCTATCTATATATAAATATATAAAAATGTATTGCTGTTCGTTAGTCTCGCTAAAACTCGAGAACGGCTGGACCGATTTGGGTAATTTTGATCTTGAATTATTTGTGGAAGTCCAGGGATGGTTTAAAATGTAGATAAATATGAAAATGCTCGTTATCGGATTTATTTGACGTTATCTTTAAAGTGCTTGGAACGTAGAAATAATATAATGACAATTAAAAAAAAGCGATATTAAGCCGTAAAGTAGATATTTATACTTATGTTTGATGGGTTTATATCACTTGACACAGTAAATCGAAAAGGTGATATGTAATCACAATAAAAGTATGAAGATTGTATGAATGTTTGTTTTATGCAAACCGATCGATATTTACAACGTAATTGAATTCAAATTCAAATTCAAATTCAAAATCATTTATTTCAACTTGGATGTCATCAAAAACACACTTGTTGAATGTCAAAATGTAAAGGAAAATGTTAACTCTACCACCGGTTCCAAAAAAAGCCACAGTCCTAAGAAGAACCGGCGAAACAAACTCAGCGGCCTTTTTTTTTGGATTTTCTCAAATATTTTCTTTTTTTTTAAATAAGAAAACATATTTACAGTATACGAAAAAACAAGTCAAAAAAATACAATTCAATTTAATTGCTTACCGGGTTTTGTTCTTTTCTACCTTCACGTGCAAAAACCGTTTGCACATATAACAAATACGTTATGCACGAAACGGAATATATCATAGACGTTTATACAAGGAAGTAGTAGTGAATGACGTTACATTTATTTCCGTTTTTGTTACGAGCTCCTTTGCGTGTCCGTAACGTGTCCATGTTTGAGTTTCTTTTTTATTCTATTACTAGCTGACCCGGCAGACTTCGTAGTGCCTCAATCGATAAATAAAATACCTAAACTTTTATATAAAATAAACTTAAAACAAACAAAACGAATCCGTCCGACGGGGGACACAGCAAAGGAAAAACAAAATTGTTATTTTTTTATTATTTTTCCGATCATTTTCATATTTATCTACCTTTTAAACCTTTTCTGGACTTCCACAAATAGTTCAAGACCAAAATTAGTCAAATCGGTTCAGCCGTTCTCGAGTTTTAGCGAGACTAACGAACGGCAATTCATTTTTATATGTATAGATTGTTCAGTTAGGCCTCATAGATAGGCAACGACCTGGTCACTCCTTGACAGGGTCATCAACCTTGGCATTGCTGGTGTCTATCAGCGATGGTGACCACTATCCACCACCTTTATACCACCATATTTCACCACCTGTCTTCTAAGCCAATGAAAAGTAAAAATATCTACAGCTATCACAATAAATTGCTTCCAGAAATCCAAATATCTACAGGCGTTCAGAAGCTGGGGTTCCAGATGTAGCTCCGATAAGCGAGCGATGTCGCAGAAGACTCTTATGCGAACTTCGTTCAGACATCAACTACGTGAGGTGAACTATCTATTGTAATTTAACTAATTCTAATTTCTAATTTTTCTAATGAAATAAGTACTTAATAAATGTTCACGATTGACTTCCACGGTGAAGGAAAATTATAATTTGTGTAATTACCGGTGGCAGGACCTCTTGTGAGTCCGCACGGGTAGGTACCACCACTCTGCCTATTTCTGCCGTGAAGCAGTAATGCGTTTCGGTTTGAATAGTAGGGCAGCCGTTGTATTAAACTGAGACCTTAGAACTCATATCTCAAGGTAGGTGGTGGCATTTATGATGTAGATGTCTATGGGCTCCGGTAACCGCTAATATCATGTGGGCCGTGAGCTCATTCACCCACATATGCAATAAAAACCCACCCGCGCGGACTCACAAGAGGTCCTATCACCAGTAATGAATGATATTTTTTGTAAATTTTTAACTATAAAGGGCTCTCCTGTAAAGATGTAAAAATGTCACTTAAGCCAAATAGTCTTTCACCCCTCGGTATGATTGTTATGCGACAGGAATAGGCAGCGTGACGATAGTTGCCTCCATGAGAACCCAGCATACTTCCCACCAAAAAAATTGACCATATTCTTATAAAATAAAAGCGAGGCTTCTAGATGAAAATTCTCTTGTTACTAACTTATATTTGGCTCACACTTCACGTGGAGGAAGGCGTCTTCTATTATAAATTCACGCTGACGCTAAGCTCACGAATAATAATTTTTCACTATTATGACCTTCCATCCATCTTGTCATGTTGAACTGAGGCAGCACATCACTACATACTATAAAATAAAGTCCTTTTCTCTGTCCTTATATCCCCTATGTATGCTTAAATCTTTAAAACTACGCAACGGATTTTGATGCGGTTTTTTTTAATAGATAGAGTGATTGAAGAGGAAGGTTTATATGTACTAGAGGACCCGCAGTAGTCGAAATTCGACTATAATTAATTGGAATTGTAAATTTGTACACTATTATGATTGTATTTTATACTTCTATAATCACAAATTTCGCTAAGACTGTACACTATAAAAAATATTAAAGATAAACAATATTTAATCTCAATTTGACAACAATCAATCTCAATTTGTCAAGAATAAAAGTTTGACAATAAATAGTATGCATGCGTGTGTGCGTCAAATACATGGTATGTAGTGTGTGTAATGTTTTCTTTATTGATTTAATGTATCTTTAATGCATTATTTAAAAAAAAGATTAGCATTGTGCACTTCTTCTCTATATTCTCTATAAGTGTGGAAAATTTCATACTCCTCCGTCCGCGCAATTTTCGTAAAAAGGGATACAAAGCTTTTGCTTCACGTATGAATATATAGATAATAACATCCATTAAATAGTGGAGAAATCAATAATAAATTACAGTTTCCGAAGCGAAGCGAGGGCGGGTCGCTAGTTCACGAATAAATTAATGAATTTGATAAATATCTGTTTTGTAGCGACTCGAATAATTTTCGCGGAATTGGAAAACAATGTTACAAAATCCACTGCGAGGACGCACATACCGTACAGAAGATGCTAAACTGGCTCTTCAGCTACTACAGACCAGCGAATGGATAAAGCAGAACGGACTACACTTGATGACACGGTTACTGTTTGATGTTTTATTGTTTTATTTATATAAGTTTTTGTTGAAACGAAGTTCCTTATGGGACGATGCGGAGGGGTACCCTAACCGAGAAAAAACGTCCGTAACGTAAGATTTTTATTATTTATGTATAGTCTTTGTATGATGGCTATACAGTGTCTAATGTATAGTCTACGTGATGACGGTTATTATTATTATTCATATAAATAGCTCTTTCTTGAATAAAATAAAGTTGATAACTTTGTAAAGTACTTTCTTTTTTTTTATCAATAAAAAAATCATAATAAAAAATGTATACCTACCCGAATAATTATTTTCTTTATACTTCGAATATAACTTAAAGTTAATATTTTTATAATAAACACCCAAGGCATCACAATTTTTTTCCGTTTTTTAACCGATTTCAAAAAAGGAGGATGTTCTCAATTCGACTGTATGTTTTTTTTTATGTTTGTTAACTCATAACTTTTGACTGGGTGAATTGATTTTGATGATTCTTTTTTTATTAGAAAGCTGACGATTCCCGTGTGGTCCCATTTCAATTTAGTCCAGTTCTGAAAATGGTATCAGTATATAAGTACACGCGCGACAAATAGATGAATAACCCAATACCTCAATTTCACGCCAACCGATTTCGATGATTACTCTTTTTAGTGTAGTGTATATTGTTTTGGAATATCTTTTTTTTTTTATTTGAAATCGGTTTTTGTTAAAGCATGTCTATTTACAATTATGTAACAATAAACTCTCATCCAATGGTGATCGATATACTACCATTATCACTGATGTCTCAAGATTTACATTCGTTTTATGTATTGCATGTTTTCCCTTTTTGAAGTGAAACTTCTTTAGAATCGTTGGGTGTGATTTCAAACTCGATGAAACGAAAAAATGAAACGCGAAGTTAAAATATCAATTCACATTAGAAAATATCAATTCACCTCATACTATAAAATATGATTTACAATTATTTCTATTTAGTTTGTTATCAACAGATGTTGCTGCACGTAAATTCAACAATTCCTGAATCGCGGTGACGAGATGTTACACAGTTGATATACGTTCTCGTATTTCTCTTGCTATATCATACTTACCTGGCATAGAGATACCATGATCATGCAGGCGGTTCCCCTAGGTTGCGGCTGCTCCATTGCACTGCGGAGTGGTTGGTGGTTGACCCTTGCGATTATTCTTATTTTTTATAAGTTTCACTTCTACCGTGTGTGACTTGCACACACACACACATTTTTTTAATTGTTATTTAGAAGCAACCGTGGGTTGAAACGCTATTTGGTTTAAGCGACATTTAGCTTAATACGCGAAATTTATCAATGTAATTAAAAGTTCATTTTATTTGGTGTTATCGTCAACAATTCGATGTTTTTAATCCAACTTCAATTATGCTTACACCATTCAAATAGTTGAAGAAGCTTTTTCATCATGACTTTTTTTTCAAATTTTCAAATTTAAATAACTCTCCTGGAAAATTTCAAAAATGTCGCGTAAACCAAATATTTTATAGTATTATCTCCATTCACCCCTCGAAACTATTTCTATTCCCAAGTATTTTCGTGAAAAGTCGACCACGGCTACTGATCAAACAAAAACAAAATCTGTTGACAGATAAGATTATATTATTCGTCCGTGACCACGAAACTTGTACAGTATCCGAAACCTCGGAAATAATAATAATGACAATAAAAAAAAACGCAAGATTACCTAAACCGTAAAAGTAATTTTAATAATCTTCACAAACTCATTAGAGGAAATGTTGCGTAAAAATGTTTTTTGATCATTGCTTTTTTTATAGATAAGCAATTAATTTGTATTAACATCGATATTCAGGAACGTTTAGATTTTAATTTATGAAAATAAAAACAAATTAAAAGAAAAATCCTTATTGATTGTGAATTTTAAAAACCTAATAAAATATTCTTAATGGTAGGTAGATATTCATTTATTTTAATAGCATACGCACAGGAAACACTTTCCAATTAAAAATAAGAATTGTGTAAGTCAACTACCACTATATATAAATATATGTATGTATATAAGAAAGTAGTTTAATTAAAAATTTTCCCCTCCACGGTGTTTCCCGAGCGCTATGACATGTCCTTCTTCAAACGAGGCTTGTGGAGAGTATTAAGCGGTAGGCAGCGGCTTGGCTCTGCCCCTGGCATTGCTGAAGTCCATGGGCGACGGTAACCACTCACCATCAGATGGGCCGTATGCTCGTCTGCCTACAAGGGCAATAAAAAAAATTAAAAAAAATAGACGCTCTGCTTCTTTGGATCGTACTACTTGTTTTTTTTTTCTTACCTAAGCTGGTAGCCTTGAGAGGCTATTCCAGCGTTGCTAACACGAACCCTAGCAAGAGTCGTGCTTCGCAGAATCTACCACCGGATCGGAAACGCGACCCACTGAGAAGATCCGGCGAGAAACTCAGTGGGCTGTGTCTGAGGGTTAATTTACTCATCGAGCCCTTCGCCGCCAGCGACGGGTTCGACGAGAACGGTGACCGGTGCTTGAGGTACCTAAAAGCACCGTTAGTGGATCGGGAGGATCCGAGATGACGTGTTTGGGGCGACGTCGACTGCTTTCCATTCTTTCCGCAGGATCGGGAATGTAGTTACCGGCGGCCACGATGAGAGGGTTCTCGTGTCGAAGTGGAGCTACTTGTTACGTACATTCCAGTTTAAAGGATGATACTGAAATATACTTTTTACAAAGTCATCAAATTTCTCTTCCTACGTTGTGTTTCAAAGCAACTTCTTGTAGAGCTGCATTCTGAGATCATCAAAATGATAAACGAAAAAACAAAACTTTCATTAAAACAAGTATTCTCTTGTCTTATTTTCTATTTATTTTAACGAATGTATACGGTTTCGTGGGCTATCACCGCTTACTTTGACGTATAACGAAGTTTTTTTGCATAAATGGGTGGACGAGCTCATAGTCCACCTGGTGTTTAGTGGTTACCGGAGCCAATAGACATATACAACGTAAATGCGCCACCCACCTTGAGATATGAGTTCTACGGTCTCAAGTATAGTTACAACGGCTGCCCCACCCTTCAACCGAAACGCATTACTGCTTCACGGCAGAAATAGGCAGAGTTGTGGTACTTAACTGTGCGAACTCACAAGACGTCCTACCATCAGTAGTTACGCAAATTATAATTTTGCGTGTTTGATTTTTATTACACGATGTTATTCCTTCACCGTGGAAGTCAATCGTGAACATTTGTTAAGTACGTATTTCATTAGAAAAATTATTGGTACCCGCCTTTTTACATACTCGATCCTGTAGACCGAATGGTAAACAGTCGACGTCGCCCAAAACACGTCATTACGGATTCTCCCGATCCATTAACTGATATTTTAGTTACCACAAGCACCGGTCACCGTCCTCGTCGAACCCGTCGCTTGCGACGAATGGCTCGACGAGCGAATTAACCTATAGAAACAGCCCACTGAGTTTTTCGCTGGATCGTCTCAGTGGGTCGCGTTTCCGATCCGGTGGTAGATTCTGCGAAGCACTGCTCTTGCTAGGGCCAGTGTTACCAACACTCCGGTTTGAGCCCCGTGAGCTCACGTACACGTTAGGGCGAAGCTGATATAGCCTTTCAAGGCTATCAGCATAGGTAGGAAGAAAAAGACAGGAAAAAAAAAAGCGGCGTTCGAACACCGATGCATCGTTACATACGAATGCACCGGACGTCTTATCCTTGAGGCCACGACGTCTTCCTCGTAGAATAATATGGGTATCGACCGTTATTTTCCGATCTAATCCTTTAGACTAGATTGCATTGCAGTAATACTCTTTAATGTTTGATATTGTCCAATTTAAGCAACTTCAAAAATAAAAAACTTTCACAATTATAATATTAGTATTAATAAATTCACTTCGGTTCATCGCGTTTTTTTTTCCAAAACGTTCATTATTAACCTTTCACTATAATTTCGACCGAAAACTTTACTTGTTCGAAACAGTGGACTTACCGCCTTAGTTCATATAACTTGCCAACGGATTACTGTGCTTCATCATCATCATCACCAGCCTATATCTCTCAACTGCTGGATGTAGGCCTCTCCCATAGTCCGCCACAATGAACGATCCTCCGCCTTTCGCATCCAATCTTTTCCAGCATATCGCCGCAAGTCATCGGTCCAACGGGCAGGGGGACGCCCAACGCTGCGCTTACCGGTACGCGGTCTCCAGTCCAGAACACGTCTGCTCCATCGGCCATCGGTTCTGCGACACGTATATCCGGCCCATTGCCACTTCAGCTTGCTAATCTTTAGGGCTATGTCGGTTACTTTGGTTCTTTGACGAATTTCATCATTTCCGACTCGATCCATCAAAGAAGCTTCGAGCATACACCTTTCCATAGCACGCTGAGCGACTTTGAGCTTACGGACCAAACCTATGGTCAATGTCCACGTTTCAGCGCCATATGTCATAACTAAACTAAAAACTGACTAAACTGTAAACTAAACTTTTGTCTTGATTACTGTGCTTGCAAATACGATATTCATCGTGGTGAATAAACACTAAGATGTTTTGCCCAATTACAATTGTAAATGTAGCTTCAGCTTCAGTTTGATCGGTGGGACCGACCATAAATCTTTGAAAATTTGAACGTTGAGAGTCTCAAAATTGGCAGGCATCATTCTCTTATAACGATGATCACATAACACCAGACAATCTTTGATCTCTATTTCTCTAATGAAAAACTTTTCAAGCTAATCAATTAAATGAAAGAATATACATATACCAGATGAAAAATTGTAACTGTCTTCAGTGTCATATAAGGAAACTATCACTCTGAGCAATAAGCTAGCGATGTTTGCAAAGAAAATATAGTTGTGTTACTATTAGTAAAATACAATTTAACGTTCTCTAATTGCATACTGAAAACGCAACAGTTAACTATTAATATTGTAAGTAGTTCAAGAAATTCATTTTATTGATTTAATTAATGATTAAATAAAATGCAATGAGTATTAAAATTTTTGCAAATTCATGCTTAAAATAATGCGTTTTTCTGTAATTGAAAGATGTTTTAACAATGGAATTATTGTTCTACAGATATATTCTATTCTTTTTTTTTTCTATTCGCGGGTAGACTGCGGGCTTATTGCTTCTACGCTATGTCCAGTAGTTGGAGCTCACGGGGCTCAACCAGAGAGAGGGTGTTAACACTGGCCCTAGCAAGAGCAGTGCTTCGCAGGATCTACCACCGGATCGGAAACGCGACCCACTGAGAAGATCCGGCGAGAAACTCAGTGAATTGCGTCTATGGGTTAGTTTGCTCATCGAACTCTTCATTTTAATCAATGTGTTCGACGATGAAGGTTCGGTACTTGAAGAGCCTAAAAGCGAGAGCTGGTCTGGGGGTACCGATAAGACATGTTACGGGCAACGACGGTTTTGAGTTGCCCCGTCGTCTGAATCGGATACCATTCATTGTATCTATAGTATAATATTTATACTATAGGATTGTATAGGATCTGTAGTATATGTATCTATAGTATAATATTTATACAATAGATACAATGAAGGTTTTGGTAATTCACTAAAAAATACTTAGGCAAAATGTGTGTAGTGTCCTTAAAAATATTGCACGAAATTATTTATTTATAATATTTTATTTTTTGAGTAACGTTACTTAGTCACTGCTTTGTGACATACTATACATATAAAGAAATGAATTTGATAAGTTCAAAAAACTTTCGAAAATGAAGTGTTTAGTCGCAATTATCATTATACTTTAGCTGTATTTGCAAATCGACATTACACGGTGCCAGTGAAAGTTTACTATTCCGGAATGACGGACGCATTGTTTGTATATCTTTTTATTGTTTGATTGATTTATGAATTTTATATTAAAATGTTATAAGGTTCTATATTCAATTGCGGTAAACTGGTGATAGGACCTCTTGTGAATCCGCACGGGTAGGTACCACCTTTTTCTGCCGTAAAGCAGTAATGCGTTTCGGTTTGAAGGGTAGGGCAGCCGTTGTAACTATGCTTTTTTTTTATTGCTTAGATGGGTGGACGAGCTCACAGCCAACCTGGTGTTAAGTGGTTACTGGAGCCCATAGACATCCACAACGTAGATGCGCCACCCACCTTGAGATATAAGTTCTAAAGTTCAGGCGACTACCAAATACTGAACACACAGTCATATCCAGCCTATTACCAGTCAGACCAACCGGTTAGTTATCTGATTGAGTTATCGTCTCTACGAAGAAACAGAAAACGAAGTTGTTTTGTCAGCTTCAGTTCACCTAATCTTCCATTTAAAACAATAAAAACAGCGGTAACTTTCAAGTTTGCCTGTTCTATGAGTAATTATGTCAGCTAGTCGACGACCGGCGGTCGGGCCCAGTTTTCACTGCTAATTGCTGTGCGTTGCGTCAGATGTCCGCTTCGAATTTAGGCGTGCTAAAGCCACGTGTGTTGTGCTTTTTTATTACATTAAAAACGGACAGACTTAAGTTTCACCTAGTTTAGAGCGGCTATTCATTACATCACATACTTTCATCGTATTACGACCTAGCAAGGACAAGAATTTAATATGTTTCTTTATTACTTAAATGGATGGCCGAGCTCGCGGCCCACCTGATGTTAAGTGGTTACCGGAGCCCATAGACGTCTAAAATGTAAATGCCGTCACCCACATTGAGACATGAGTTGTAAGGTCTCACTTTTAACAGTACAACGGCTGCCCCGCCCTTCAAACCGAAACGCATTACTGCTTCAGGGCAGAAACAGGCAAGGTGATGGTACCTCTACGGACTCACAAGACGTCCTACCACCATGTCTTAAGCAATGGTTATCCAAATGAAAATGTTTACAAGCTCTTAATTTAAAACCTCATGCGAGTATTGTTTAGAGATAAAAAGTATAAAGGGCAAGGCAAAAAGCAAGGGATTGACACAAAATATCTATAGTTTCGGAATTTCTGACAACTAACCCAGACCTATTAAAATAGGATACCGAAATTTATGGCTTTTAAGTGAAACATTTTAGGTACACTGTATCATCCACAAGACCGGTACGCACGAATGTTTAATTGCGGAAATAGGTACCATGGAATGGTTACCAATACAGACTAACCTACCGGGCGGTACTACAAGTAAGCGTATCCAAAGTATGCCCGGTATGAAAAGCCAGATGGTTCGATGCATGCAAAATCTGATGCAATTGTAATACAATAATGTTTTTAGTTGAAACACTAAGGCCGGAGTTTTGTATTGACTGCCGAATATGTGAACTAATCAGAACATCACACCGACCTCTACTTCCAAAAAGTCGTTTAGCTCCGTAGAAACTAAACAATTTATAGACTGATAACTATGTATTTTTACTTTATTATGTAACGCCAAAACGGAATGCGGTTTTAAGGTAAGTTAGCCAATTCATAAGTAGGTACGCGCAAAAACTCTCTTCGATTGACGGTAAATGACATAACGATAAGTAAAAGTAAAATTTGCCGTATTAAGAATATTAATGATCGATTGAATCGGAAGGAGGTCAACAAACAGCCTTCGTTCGGATGTTGACACACGACGTAATTATGGAAAACAGCTACGAGATCCTTTTCACGCCCACCACCGCACCGGGTGCTAGAGTGCTCTCGGCGTATGATCGGTTACACAACCAGCAACCTGCGGCATCAGCTCTCACCAGCGCAGTCGCACCTGACGCGCCGACGCGTATTGCCGACAACACAACGCGAATACAAAATAAATAAATAAAGTGCATTACAGCCGTTCCGAGTTATCGAACGAGAAATAGTGAAGCAGAGAAGACACGCGGTTTTTTTTTTTTGAACAATTCACATATCGCGTATTCTTTTGGACATTATTATTTGTTGTGTTTTTTTTATTTATTAATTGTACCGAGATCCGTGTCCGCAGTGAGAGTGGAGTGTGTAGGAAAGTGAGGCGTCCGGAGTATGCGCTTGTTCGCTTGAATATTTTCACTTTCTACTCGACGACGGGACACACAGAACGGTGAGCTTTGATAACGTTACGTAATACGATTTACGTTCGCGTGTCACTTTTACTAATAAACCAGTCATTAGCACTGTTAATAGACCGCTTACGAAACTCTGTAAATTCGATAGTCTTTATTAGTTTATACGACCGGAACTAATATTGGACGTAATGTTCTTCTTAAAGCATTTTTTTTTTATTGCTTAGATGGGTGGACGAGCTCACAGCCCACCTGGTGTTAAGTGGTTACTGGAGCCCATAGACATCTACAACGTAAACGCGCCACCCACCTTGAGATATAAGTTCTAAGGTCTCAAGTATAGTTACAACGGCTGCCCCATCCTTCAAACCGAAACGCATTACTGCTTCACGCCAGAAATAAGCAGGGCATTAAATTTAAAAAAAAACTTTGTAACGTGTAAATCAAATTTATAAGCTCTTCAATGGTAAATAAATGCTCCAAATAAAAGAAATAAATATGTACTACGAATTAAATTAGTTCTGGTGCCTTCCGATTTTTCTGCAATATTTTTCTGCCTCGCATGTACTAAAAGGCATCGTGTATTATAATAATCGAAAGTCGCGTAATTTAATTTGCGCGTTCAGAATAGCTGATAGCGTATTGCGACCCAACCCGAATGGGTACTACCGTCCTGTCTATTTCTATCACAAAGCCTCCTCCGTGCATCGTATTCCTCAGTGCTAAGGGTCGTGACCTTTACTGAACATTTTTGTTAGGACTATGTTTTTTTTTATTGCTTAGATGGGTGGATGAGCTCACAGCCACCTGATGTTAAGTGGTTACTGGAGCCCATAGACATCTACATCGTAAATGCGCTACCCATCTTGAGACATAAGTTCTAAGGTCTCAGGTATAGTTACAACGGCTGCCCCACCTTTCAAACCGAAACGCATTACTGCTTCACGGCAGAAATAGGCAGGGCGGTGGTACCTACCCGCGGGGACTCTCAAGAGGTCCTACCACCAGTTCCTCCATTCCTTCCTGTCCTCCGCGCAGTGTATAGCGACATTGATGCTGGAGTCCAAAGTCGTCTTAATCTGATCGGACCAGCGCATGGGGCTACGCCAATAGGCCTCTTTCCTTCGACTTTGCTGGTGATAAGTAGTCTTTCGGGATTATCGCCCTTTTACCTCGCAACGCGATCGAAACAGCAACATAAACATCAAAGCATTTTTGGTATTAATAGGTGTACCAGCTCACGCTTCAACTAGTGCTATGTGATTCCTCCGTGCGTCGTGTTCCTCAGTGACGTTTACGGAATACATACCTAAAGGTTTTCTTGAGAAAATTGCTAATGGTGGGTTCACGCGTCCTTGCACAGCAGAATTTCAGAGGCGATTTAGTTCCTCTGGGCTCCTGAAGCCCTAGTTCGGGTTAATTGATCGCCCCCCGTAGCTTGGCGTTATATTTTTTACGGCCCAGTGGGTGGCATACCGACGCCAACCCTCCCCTTTTCTCATCCGGGCTTGGGACCGGCAAGGAGTTAATGTGATTACGGAACCCGATAACATCACGATATGCATGACGCTTCCCACAAAAAGGAATAAAGTTCGAAGACCGCATTACATAGCAGCAGCTCTTTAGCCCAGAACGCATGACTACTTCCCGGCAAAAACAGGCATTGTAATGGTATTCGCGTGACTTATGAATACACCCTATCAGTACTTATAAAAACATGAAACTAATGGCATTTAAAGCATTTAAGTTGCAATATCTATGCGATACGACCCTGACTGGTGGTATTAAGAAAAGACCCCTATGTTCCTATTTAATTTCCTCTAGTTGTAGTCGTCGTGGCCTAAAGGATAAGACGTCCGGTGCATTCGTATCTAGCGATGCACCGTTGTTCGAATCCGGCAGGCGGATACCAATTTTTCTAATGAAAGACGTACTTAACAAATGTTCACGATTGAGTTTCACGGTGAAGGAATAGCATCGTGTAGTAAAAATCATACCCGCAAAATTAAAATTTGCTTAATTACTGGTGGTCGGACCTCTTGTGAGTCCGCACGGGTAGGTACCACCATCCTGCCTATTTCTGTCGTGAAGCGTTTCGGTTTCAAGAGTGGGGCAGCCGTTGTAACTATACTGATATCTTAGAACTTAAATCTCAAGGTGGGTTGCGCATTTACTTTGTAGATGTCTATGGGCTCCAATAACCACTTAACACCAGGGGTGCTGTGAGCTCGTCCACCCATATTGGCAATAAATAAATAAATAAAATGTTTATTACGTGCTATTTTTAATTACATTCAACGGAAAACCGATTGACTTTAGCCAATAGAAATAACTTTAATCTCCTATCGATACAGAAATCGGCTTCGCTCAATGGTCGCGTGGTAATGATGAAAGAGCTCATTGCTTTAGTGTCGATATGTGAATCATTTATACATTACGAGCGCGTATAGGGGACTCGTTTAATAAACAGCATTGACCCAAACAGTAAACTGTTTGCATCATCTACGAACTTAGTATTTCAGACGTGAGCAGAAATAAATAAGACCTGTACTTGCTAAGTTTAAAAATTTATAAAAAAAACACTTGTTAAATACGTTGTAATCATTTACGTAAATTAATTATTGTATTCATATAACCTAATTTAATAATTTATAAGCTATGCTTATATAAAGCGAGTTACCCGCAGTCAAACTGCGTAAGCAGTTTAGCGGGGCATGGTTTAAATGAAAGTCTAACTTTTTATGAATAAATATATTACATACATACATACATACATAAATCTACGATATTTGTAATTTACTACGGATCGTCTACAATTTTTCGCGTTTGCATGTGAATGAGTTTCTAATTATTAAGTAACGTATACTTAAGTTCATAGGTACTCTGAATTCTGTTCCCGTAGAAGTGAGGCCGTCAAAAATCAGATTTGAATTTCTGCCATTTCTTTTTTTAATTTCACTTTGTTATCCAAAAATATTTTTTTTCGTGCTCAATCACGACACGATGTAGAAATCATTTGCCTTTTTTTTCTTTTCTTTAACACACAAGATCGCTCGAATCATATGGCCCTTACAGTCCTTACTTCAAAGTCTGGTTCAAAGTCTTCAAGACGTTTTGAAATTCCATTTCACGTCATGTCTACATGATTTTGCCAATTCTTCTTGATTCTCGCGTGAGTTTTCATCGGACAAGCCTGTAATTATTCGTCTTCGAATCTGGTCTGGTCTGCCATGCTGTTTACTGGTGGTAGGACCTCTTGAGAGTCCGCGCGGGTAGGTACCACCACCCTGCTTATTTCTGCCGAGAAGCAGTAATGCGTTTCGTTTTGAAGGGTGGGGCAGCCGTTGTAACTATACTTGAGACCTTAGAACTTATGTCTCAAGGTGGGTGGCGCATTTACGTTGTAGATGTCTATGGGCTCCAGTAACCACTTAACACCAGGTGGGCTGTGAGCTCGTCCACCCATCTAACCAATAAAAAAATGAGAATGATATTTACGATGATCCATGGCCGAAGCCTTGAAATCAGTCACAATCAGATATTTCACTTACAGAACGGCCTCGCCATAAATGTCTGAGTAGCACGCACGAAAAAACTCAACCGTCGATTACTTCATAATAAAGAAGGAAAACAACAACTTCCACAAATAAATTTGGCTTATAAACAGACATATTCAATCTTCTGCATCTTCTTAGCGTTTTCTCGGTCTAGTGCCAGAACTTTTTTGTTTAAGCTCCTCCTCCACTTTGTCTTTGGCATGCTTTTGGGTGAGGTATGACAATCAATCACGAAATATCTTTTTATTTATGTAAGAGAATATTTATGTAAACGCATATCGATTCTACAAGGTTTAGAGATGCAAAAAAGTACATGTGTCTTGCACGCCAATGTTACTATAGAAAATACGACACACGAATTGATATTAAATAACTACCGAATCCCTTAATCATTGCAAAGTGAATGCCTCCATCCATCTTGAGGTCTCAGTCGGCAGAGTACCGTGTGATGTTTATCTCACACTGCATTTCCCAACATCTGCAGACCGCCAGGTTCCACATATGCCGCATGCCCCCTAAGCGCGGATACCTCGTAGGAGGTACGGAAGCATGTCCAAAAAAAAATGCATAAAGCTGGAACTTAAGGCTGATTCGCCGCGGACATGTAGAGAGAAGTACCTACTTACTCATGATGGTTGAAATGCGCACCAAAATCACTAATAACGCATTTAAACAACGTGTCGTTTATTACTTTTTTTTTTATTACTTAGATAGGTGGACGAACTCCCAGCCCACCTGGTGTTAAGTGGTTACTGGAGCCCATAGACATCTGCGACGTAAATGCGCCACCCACCTTGAGATATAAGTTCGAAGGTCTCAAGTATAGTTACAACGGCTGCCCCGCCCTTCGAACCGAAACACATTACTGCTTCACGGCAGAAATAGGCCGAGCGGTGGTACCTACCCGTGCGGACTCACAAGAGGTCCTACCACCAGTATAAAAGTATACCTTTAATAGCAGAGGATTGTTCTAGAAAAATTCGTATGCATCTATTATTAAAATTTCAATCCTCGCATCACATCACTTGACACCGGTCCACGGCACAAATTACGCCAGGCAAGCTCCAAAATATATCAGTGAAACTGTTCTAATTGTTAAGTAATGACGGGATACTAATGCAATAAGTAATGTTTTACCACTAACTAACCGTAAATAGTATTTTTTGTTGTTCTAAATTAATAACTTCAACAATGATATTACGATAGCAAATGTCGTAAGCCATCGATTCCCGTGAGAATGGAAGTTACGATATTCCATCGCTGACAATGACAATGACAAAAACTTGGTTGGTGTATTCGTGTGAAACTGTATGGAAATCTGAGGCTTATGAGTCTTAATGTTTTACTATTGTGATTATTTTCAACACGCTTTTTATAACGTGACCTGTATCTGTTTAACAGAATCTTATAATTTAATTTTACGTCAACTTCAAAACGTCCAATTAAAATTTTATCCAATGTAAATTTTATTACAGTGGTCT